ATCCTTTGTACCTGCCTGTGGAATAACTTACTTGCTTAATTTCTGTTTAAGCTGTAATTGTCTGCTGGTACATTGGTTAAGAGATATTCATGCATTATTTGTTTGCTTAAATTCTGCCGTCAACCCCTATTTGTACGCCTGGCGTTTTCCACAATTCAGGAAAGCCTTTTTGAAACTCCTCCACCTCAAATAGGGGCTCAGGGTCGAGTCAACCCTTTATCTTTACTCAAGAAAAATCGAGTTGTCAATACTGATCAGCAGACCACTGAGAAAAATGAGAAAACAACACTTTTGTTTTTGATTTCGATATTTACACTTAACTGTCCACTTATTTTCGGTTGCCTTCAGGGAATGTTATGGAGAAAAATATTCTTCTTTTTTGCAATTGCAGTATTTCCGTTTAGGTATGTCACTGGCTGATTTTAAGTAGCACTTTTTTCAGTATTTTTTTGAGCTCAACCACGAAATCACACGAGACATTAAAGGTATTTTCTTAAGTTTAAAACCCCCAAACCAAATGGGTGTAGTATAGTTAATTTAACTTAACAAATCGAGTGAATCTCTTGTTAGGTGGTTTCTTTTATCCTATTTCGTGAATTTTATTCGTACAAATAAATTGGTAGCGATGTAAAGTTTATACTAAGAAATTGGAAATTAAAGATATGAATACCAAACACAGCCAATGTGTACAGCAATTTCTTTCCCAGGAGTCCCCAGGGTCAACTGTAGTTGCAAAGAAGCCAGCCACGTTTCCAGAAGGGCTCGACCAGCTTACCTTTTGCCTCAAACACATGCAGCGTATTCAATTCACAGGATAGGAAAACTGAGGAGGATCTGTTCAAGAGAATAGTCAGAAGGCTATGGAAATAACTTTGTCGGGCTCCAACATTATTGAACAGGGGCGCTGGTTACGAGCTCCCCGCGATCTGCCTTCCATCTCCATCACTTGATAAAGATTCTGCGATGGAATCGAAAGCTTGAGTATAATACGTTTTTCTATTCTGTGAATTGATGAATCTTCGTTTTATTCAAAATATCATTATGACAGGGTTAGCAACTCTTTCATCGCTAATACAGACAGTGTACTCTGTATACTTTGTATATTTTGTGATTCAACATTGTCCTTGCCTCAAATTCTCCTTTCCTTTTGTTTTCATATCATTATAATAGCTACCGTGCAAAGAAAATTTTTTCTTTATTTACTGCCGATCTTAACTTCAATTAGTAGACGTGGCAGGAGCAACACGTTTAGCGTCAGTTTACATTTCAATTCGCCAATTTAATTGATAAGAAAGGAATTGGCGCCGAAATGTGTCCCGCAATTAGTGTTTGGGAACGTTTAATACTGATGACGCGCCGGTCAGTTATGGGCCAATTTGTTTTCCTTAGCCTCAGTAACAATCCCAGAAGTCTTTGCGACAGTTTACTCGGCTCAGTCTACTTCTCGTTTCTAAAGAGACGAGTTAAAATCATTTACGTTACAGAAACGATTCAAGAAACGAGAAGTCTATGCGAAAGTCTACTGCAAAGCTGATTATAACAACCTGCATTGCTTTTTCGTAACAATATTTCGGCTGGCCATACCAGTGTTCTTCAGGTTTACAGATGTTACTGAATGGTTTACAGGTTTTCAGGTTTACAGATGTTACAAAAGAGATTGTTCGTTCAAGTGATATTATTGCTTCTTCGTATCCAATGTTCTCATGAGAATAAAAAAAAATCGCAACTCCTTTTTCACTCAGTCGAGTCGAGGTTCGGCAGGACTGGAGAGAGCGAAATGGCCGGGGGAGAACTGGAAACCTTACTTCCTCAGCTTTCCGCCTTCTACCCAATTTCCCCCTTGACTGGCTTTCTTCGTCCGCTTCGCTTGTTTTCCTCGCTCACACACCTTTACCTCTAGACCGTATATCCCATATTCAAAATGACTATCCGGGAAGGGCACGCACATGGCAGCTGACAAGAACCGGTCCTGAGGCATCCACTTGAAATTTGAGGTAAAGTTGTAATTCAATTCTTTGTGGAGACCATAGGGAACCCACGCTCTTATTTGTCAACTGCAAATGGAAATTAAATAAGGGATAAAATCTTACCTCTCTTGTTCTATTCTTGAATCTGCTGTGGTGCAAAGTAAATTGGAAGTTGTTTTACGACTCGAAAACTATGTTCAAGTCGACGCTTTAACCGTTGTTGATTTCACAATGCTTTATGTGGTCGTGCGCCGGTTGTTATTATCGTCTCGCGTTTCATCGTTGGTTATCAATTTATTAACAATTAATTTAAGTTTTAGGGACAGACCATTAGAAAAGTTATGGGGCGGGGGGAGGAATTTTAGAGCCGCGGGAAATTTTTTTCGTTATCAAATTCCTTGTATGAAGTTTTTTTAGGCCATAGCATGAATATTTTTTTAGGATTAATTGGCGTGCAAGAATTTTTTTCATTTAATCTTCCCTTGCGCGAATATTTTTTTTGTACTTCACCCCCCCCCCCCCTTCCCCCCATAAGTTTTTTAATGGTCCGTTCCTTAAAAACTCTCTCTCGAATTGTTATTAAATTAATAACCAACGATGAAACTCGACACGATAATAACAACCGGCGCGTGACACCAACTGTGAAATGAGAGCGGTTAAGGCGTGATGACTTATACATAGTTTTTCCATCGTAAAACAACTTCCACTTCACTTCACACCACAGCAGATTCAAGGATAGAACAAAACAGGTAAGATTTTATCTCTTATTTAATTTCCATTTGCAATTTACAAATAAGAGCGGGGTGCCCTATGCGGAGACCCACCTGGCCGGAGGGCGCGGTTCAAAACTTGTTGAATTCTAAAAGATGCCACTCTAAGAGTCACCTTGAGTTTACATAGTGGTGTCGTCGTCAAAATAATTGTCTGTCTTTCTGAGCTGACAAGTTAAACGAGATAAAAATGAGACGGGCTACCGCTTCATAATCAAAGAGCAGAATCGGCAGTTAGGCTCCAGTTTATTACCGAAGAATATCTATCACTTCGACTATGAAGACAGTCATGGGCTAAATTTCAGGGGCACCCAACGAGGATATAGTTCAAAACCACTTATTAAACATAGCATTGTTAAACGCATCTTACTATTCAAACCGTAGATAAAGGCATATTTTTATCCCCTAAAAATATTTTATCTGTTCGGATTTCCTAGCTGAAAGTCTAGTGATCCGAAAAATATAGGGATCAAATCTTAACTTTTCGAAAATTTCAGCCAGAAAAAAGGCTCCCGAAAATTCTAGGTGACCTTTTTAGGGTAAAAATCCGCTAAAAATGGACAATTATTCCATGTTTTAGATGTTCGAAAATCCTAGGAGAGGCAGGCAAGCAAGAAATGTTACAACAAATGTTCCGAAAATTCTAGATCTCAAATCGTCTTCCGAACAGATGTTTCCCGAAAATTGAGGTTGGGTGCCCCTGAAATTTGACCTGCCTCCATAAAGCAAGGTAATTACGGGAAGCAACCTATTCGAACAGATAAGCAATCCACACAGCCACAGAGTGGCGGTGTGTTCTGGCTGTTCTGGCTGATATCAAAGAACAATTTGGTTTAGTAGAAGATACACTCCTTGAACGAAGCTGAGGTAAGGATTCATATTTAAGTACGTGTTTGCTGGACTGGTACAAGATATTCTGATAGCAAAATTTGCGCGAGAATATTCTAAAATAAATTTGAAACGAAAAAAGCATTCAAAACGTAAACTGCAACGATTTTTGTAGCTCAAAAGGTCCAGCCAAACTAACTTCATTTCGGCGTGGAAAACTGTGAACTAAAGCATGCGTTACTTCAGAATGATTTGGAGTCATTTTCGTAAAAAGAATATATGAACGTATAAATGTTAAGCACGTAAATTTCAAAAATGTTAACCGAACTTTAGAGCAACCAAGAACCTTAAAAAAATGGCAGCCCAAATAATACGTGGGGATGCAAAGGTTTGGAATTGTGTGAGGATAATATTCCGGTATCGAATTCAACCGCTAAAATACACTGTTTCCAACTTTTGGTGGCCACAAATTAACCGACTTTAAAAATTCTAAAATTCTTTCTTCACTTTAAACTTAGAGAATTAGCTGACGGCTTAAGACGTGAAAGTTTTCTTTTTTTGCAAATTTGAATAACATGTTGATTATACAATTTTTACGAATGAATTTCTTTTGCAGTTTACGGTATTTTCGGTAATTTTCTCAACTGCATGCAAATCGGTAATTTTAGCTGCGTGCTCGGTAATTTCCTCAACTGCATGCAAATCGGCGCTGCTTTAGATCATCAGTCCCTGACGTCAGTTGTCTTCCGTTTAGTTTTTGACAATTATACTTAGCTTGTTGATTTTTGTTCTGCTCTGACGTTGAGCAGGGTTCATTATTGTACACGGTTTCAGCGGTAGTTTTTGCCTTTTAACTTTACATTAGCCCTATAAAACACTATATTCTAACCTGTGTCTTAATACCAACTAACTATACTAACTATTCATGACTGTTCCTGAACTTTATAATAAATTTGCCATTCTTAATTTTTAACATCCGTGCTCCTCTTTCGACTCTCGCCTCAATTTTTGCATTTTAAAGTAATTGATGTTATTAAATATACAGTTAGTAATGACTCGTGGAGCTGTTTTTAACCGATTCGCGCGACAGCTTACTTAAATAAAATTGTGACTCAACCTATTATTGAAAAGTGCGACAGCTATCTATCCATAGAGTGCGATAATTTTATCGCCAAACAGGGTGTGACTTCTTGCTTTTAATGTTAGCTCAGTATACCCAAATTCTTTGCCTTTAAATTTCTTACTAAGGCTGAATATTAAAGAACAAACCTACTTAACACGTTAGAATTGGGGTTTGTTTACCCTGCGAGCAATTAAGGTTTCTCTCTTGCATGGCTTTCAGCGTTTACGAAGTCGTTCGCAGAAACTCTAAAAGCCTAGCCTGAATTTTAGACGTTTACTTCGAGTCGTTTTTACTCCCTCGGTCGATTCAGACTAGTTACTACTGGGACCTTAAGCAAGGCAGTGAAACCGTCGGTAAAAAAATGAATTTGCGCTCTTTCAAACTTACTAAATCGCTTCTATTTGGACCCCCTCAATATGCCAAATACTGGCGACTTTCCCCAGAGTTGAATTCTTAAAGGATTTTATTCAGGTTCAAAAAGAGGAAGAAAAATTCGTCGTCGGTATGTCCTCGTCCTCTATAAAACGTCAAATTAGGAAGCTTCACGTCGTAGTCGTGCAGTGGAGGTCAAAAAATGTACTAAAAAACGTGATGCACGTGCAGAGCTGTTGATTTGATCATTTTAAAGTAAAACCTGTTGTTTTTTTGAAGTCGTCGTTGTGCTCGTCGTCGTAGTTGCTTAAGCTCCCTATACTATTACTGAGGGAGTAAAAACGACTCGAAGTAATCGTCTGAAACTCAGGCTACTAAAAGTCATGCAAGTGAGAAAGCTCTGCTCGTAGGGTAGAGTTAACGTTTGTTGGTTAAAAATGCTTTTGATTAAGAAAGGTACTAGCTATTTATAAGCATAAGATTTTTTAAAAGAATAATGAAGCTCTTGTTAGAACAGAGCATTCATCTCCGTGGTGCCTATATACTGAATGACACTTCTCTTCGAAAGAGTTGGTCCTAATGCTCACAGTTAACGCCACCGAAAGATATATACTTCGGAAAGGATTGTGCTCAATGTGCATTTGATGACAATTATGTGTAAAATGACTTTGCAGAAGGTTGTTGGATTTTGGATGTGAATATATAGTTTTTTCGAAAATTATTGGGTTTTTCCATTATATGGTAAACCCATCTTGACAAACATGTGTAGTGTTAAATTTGAAACAAAATCAGTAAAAAAGATGCTTTTGACTAATATAAGGCCCCTTACACTCTAAATATGAATGAATGTCTTCTAAACAAGTGAGCGGAGAATATCAATAACGGTTTAAAATAAAATACATTTGAGGTTAAAAACAAATGTATTTACTGATCACAATAATGACACTATCTTTTGACTTACATCTAAACAGCAGGATATTTCTGAAATATATTGTTCCTGTTTCTTTAACAAATGTACTGAAGCTATTTAAGGTTGTCTTTCCAAATTAACAAAGGCAAGGGAAGCCCCTATTAAACTAATTCACCTTGTACCTGTCAAAGTTTAGTCATTGCGTCTGAAACACTGATCATTTTTCTAAAAATCGTTCATAATTTCTTTGTTATCCCAAATAACCTTGCGCGCAGGTGCAACTTTTACAAAGGAGAGAAGGAATGACTCATTGACATGTGTTTTCTCAAACTAAAATGAAAAAATTGACTGGGGTGATCGCTACTTTGTCATTTTTTTTCCTCGCAGTTGGGACGTTTAACGTTTATACAGTAACAACCAGCTACAAAGGCAGCTTTCAGGAAGAAATTGGAGTTATAAGAAGCCATTTGTAGTTGCTTCTCTGGCAGGTCTCAGCGTCCAAGGTCGTGAATGCGCCCCCTTCGGCTAACTTCTGGCTATCTTCTGGTAAGCATCAACGAATTGAAGTCACAACAGACTTTTTACATTAGCCATCGTCAGGGAAACAATTCTTGGACACAAAAACCGGCGGCAAAGTACTTGATTTCGCCAGTTGTGAGGCGTAGCTTTTAACATTAGTCACAGAAGCTGGAAAAAGTTCACTTTGGATGCTCCGAGATCTCAGACGTTTCCTGAGCAAGCCATAACAAAAAACTCACGGAGGAAACTTTGATGCAGATAAACAACTAAGGTTTGATAAAACCTATGTAGTTGTTAACTCGAATCCATTTACAAACATGTAAATTAGTTATGTTAAATTCTTTGTTTGTAATTTGGTAGATATATCCTCTAAAGGAAACAAATAATTCAACGTCCAACAATTTTTGGACTATTTTCTTTCGATGCAATGGGGTTATCTTATGCAAAACATTGTGATAACCCCCATTCGCACACAGAAATTTCGTATTTTACCGCTTCACTTGCAACTGTTTTCTGCCTTGCAACTGTTATTGGAAACGTCCTCGTTTGTTTAGCCATTGTACGGGATCCATTTAGAAAAATGAAAACGCCTTTTCATTACTTTTTGCTGAGCTTATCCGGGACAGATTTACTTGTGGGATTATTATTTGACCCCACCATGATAACTGTCCACATAAGAGAAGCACGTGGCACGCTAAATAAAGGTGATCTCTTATGGGCCTTTCAGATGCTCCATATGCTTTATTTCATTCTGGGTACGGCATCAGTCTTAACGCTGGCAGCACTAGCGGCGGACCGGTATGTCTTGGTAACATCGCCAGTCAAATACAAGACGAAGATTACGTCTAAACGCGCCATTGTAACTTCGGTGTTCATTTGGGTTGCGGCGCTGGGTTTTTCTCTTTTATACTTCAAACTCGGTTTCTTTTTGTACTCTTTCATTTTTGCCAACACTGCTGTTTTAAGCACTTTTTTTATTCTTCTGTTTACTCACAGAAGTATTCTCAGACACTTGCGTAAGCGCTCAAATTATTTGCGAGATCGGAGAACTGTTGAAAGCACAATCTCTGAAAAACGAGAATCCGCGAAGAAGATAAGGAACATAAAGAAAGAAAGAAAAGTAGCCAAAGCGTTATCGAGTGTTCTTATTGCTTTTCTTGCTTCCTTTTTACCTGCCTGTGTGATAATTTACTTGCTTAATTTCTGTTTAAGCTGTAATTGTCTGCTGGTACATTGGTTAAGAGATATTCAGGCATTATTTGTTTGCTTAAATTCTGCCGTCAACCCCTATTTGTACGCTTAGCGTCTTCCGCATTTCAGAAAAGCCTTTTTGAAACTCCTCCACCTCAAATAAGGGCTCAGGTTCGAGTCAATCCTGTACCCTTTGCTCAAGAAAATGGAGTTGTTAATACTGATCAGCAGGCCACTGAAAAAAATGAGAAAAGGACACTTTTGTTTTTGATTTCGATATTTACACTTAACAGTCCAATTTTCGGTTGCCTTGGAATGTTATGTAGAAAAATATTCTTCCTTTTTGCAATTGCAGTATTTCAATTTAGCTATGTCACTGGCTGATTTCCAGTATTTTTTTGAGCTCAACCACGAAATCACAAGAGACATTAAAGGTACTTTCTTAAGTTTAAAACCCCCAAACCAAATGGGTGTAGTATAATTAATTTAACTTAACAAATCGAGTGAATTTCTTGTTAGGTGGTTTCTTTTATCTTATTTCGTGGATTTTATTCGCACAATGGATTGTTAGCGATGTAAAGTTTAAACTAAGACATTGGAAATTAAAGGTATGAATACAAAACACAGCCAATGTTTACAGCAATTTCTTTCCCAGGAGTCCCCGGGGTCAAGTGTAGTCGCAAAGAAGCCAGCCACGTTTGCAGAAGGGCTCGACCAGCTTGTCTTTTGCCACAAACACATACAGTGTACTCAATTCACAGGATAGAAAAACTGAGGAGGATCTGTTCAAGAGAATAGTCAGCAGGCCATGGAAATAATTTGTCGGGCTCCAACATTATTGAACAGGGGCGCTGGTTACGAGCTCCCCGCGATCTGCCTTCCATCTCCATCACTTGATAAAGATTCCGCGATGGAATCGAATGCTTTGGTATAATACGTTTTTCTATTCTGTGAATTGATGAATCCTCGTTTTATTCAAATTATCCGTTATGGCAGGATTAAGCAACTCTGTCATCGCTAATGCATACAGTGTACAGTGTATACTTTGTATATTATTTTGGTTCAACATTGTCCTTTCCTCGAATTCTCCTTTCCTTTCGGTTTTCATAGCTTTTCATTTCATTATAATAGTTACAGTGCAAAGAAAATTTTTTGTTTATTTACTGCAGATCTTACTTCAATTAGTGAAGTGACGAGTTAAAATAATTTACCTTACAAAAAAAGATTCACAAAACGAGAAGTCTATGCCAAAGACTACTGCAAAGCTGATCATAGCAACGTGTATTGCTTTTTCATAACAACATTTCCGCTGGCCATACCAGCGTTCTTCAGTTTTACAGATGTTACTGAATGGTTTACAGGTTTTCAGGTTTATAGATGTTACGAAAGAGATTTTTCGTTCAAGTGATATTATTGCTTCTTCGTATCTAATGTTCTCACTAGAAGAAAAAAACTGAGAAGCACTCTGAAGTCGATGCATTGAGGTTTAGTAAACATCACAAAAATAAAAAGAGCTAACTTAAGTTGTTTATACTATTATAGAAGGCGGAGGTCAGTGAGAATGTTCTTTTGTCTTCCCTGCTATGTCTTCTGTTGAACTTTCTGAGGATGAGGAATCGCAACCTACGAAAAGACAAATCGAAAAATTGTCTCTAGTACAGTTAAGTTAAATGATGAAGCTGATCCATGGTAATCAGCGGACTAGCGTGCCTTATAGATGTATTAATCTAACTATCGTGACATATGGGAAAAGAGCCGACATTTAGCGACGCTATCACTGGTTTCCCCGCGAAATGACGTCTGAGAAATGGGCGCAGAAATTCCATACTGATGACGTGTCACTAACCAGATCTTGGTAGCGCTTTTGATTGAATTGCAGTTGAGGCACATTTTCCTCGCGGTACGGCCAATCACAATCACAAGCAGTATCCATGCATATCTGGGTATCGACACGTTATCAGTTTGGAATTTCTGTTATCGTTCCTCAGACTTCGTTTCGCGCGAAAACCAAAATGTCAGCTTCTAATGCTACATTAAGCTTTTTCCTGACGTCATTGTTTACAGTTTTGCTTGTATTAGCAAGGACTGGGCAATAGCAAAGAGATAAGAGATGCAACGCTCAATCAGGTCGTAAGAAAAGATTTTTCAGTGAAACCTCTATTGAGCAGACCCCCCAATTAAGCGGACACCCTCTACTAAGCGGACACTAAGCTGCTGGGTCCCGAAATTAACGTCTTATATTTTCCTTTATGAGCGGGCGCGGACACTAAAATAAATTGTATTTGGCTAACTTCTATTCTTAAAAACCTTTATTAAGCAGACACCGGACTGAATTGACAACAGTAGTATTGGATTACCTCCTTGAAATACGTACTGCAGTCGATTAATAAAGATAAATCAATACGTTTAGCTGTCAAAAGTTCACCTAAAAGTCTTGCACAAAGTACAGCACAGCTTCCTTAGCTTCCTTAACAACATGGAACTTTTTAACAGTACAGAGTAACTGTTGAATGTTAATCATTAACAAACATTGCGCAATTTTTATAACGGGAAGGTCCCGAAGGTGTCCGCTTAATAGAGGTTCCACTGTATTCCTGGCTTAAATAAGTAAGTAGTAGCAAAGTTTAAAACCAGCAGAGGGTGCCGCCGTAAACACTGTATACAAATTAAGTTTTTAAATTACTCAGAAAGAGCTGGATAACGTGAGCAAGTCAGGGTACAATTTCAGCACTTTGCACGTAATATCTAAGGAAATAGCAAACATCAGAAAATCGAGAAACGTTAGTGAGCAATTCATTCTCCATTTCGTGTAAAATTTCGTGTAAAAAGAGATTCGCTTCCCTTCATTTTAACCAATGGTTGTCTGCAATAAGCAAAGGTAAGCTCGGTAAGGATCCCTTTTGATACTGCCTCTCTTATTTCCTTTTTTCTTCAAAATATTCACGAACATTTTTAATGCTCAGAAACCTACCTTCCCGAGAAATTGTCGTCCTTTGTTTTGCTGCACTCTCTGTCGCAGGATTCTCAATTTTGACATTAACAACTTTTGGTTTTATCGTTCGGCCAAATGGATGGTACCCAATTATTTCAACAGAGAACCCATAAACAAGTGCAATGTACGAAATAACAATCATCAGTTGTACAGCTGGAGTAACATCCATATTTAAAACTGGAATAATCATGTCTGAAAGTTATCTTCGAAGAATCTCACAAATTTTCTTGGACAGGAAAACTCTAAGTTTCTGCCCTTTTTTTCCAAAAAAATTTACATTTAATAAGTCATAAAGATACCAGAAAATATGTACGATTGCCAATGAAAGAAATAGCTTACACAGTTTGGAGAAAATATACTTTGAACTGTTCCTTGGACCTGTTATTAGGCTATTTTCCCACAACATATATTCGGCGGTAATTACGTATCTATGGCTGCCAAATGAGAACGGCCACCAGCAAAACTTATGAATCTTTAATTTGCATATAAATTTCTCAAAGCTTGCAATTTATTATTTATTCTTCGAGCTACATCTTTTCGCAAAGAATCAAACTGAGTATAAGTTGGGTTATTATAGAACAAATGAACACCTATCTTTCAGAGACCTGAAATTTCAAAGGGAACGGCCTTCTCGCCTCATTTGAGGATGACCCGGATTCTGGAGTCCGGAAAATCTTTTCTTATGGATTCCGGAATCCTGGGCTTTGGAATCCAGAATACAACTCAAGGAATCTGGTCAATTTAGAGTCTTGCTAACGATTGGAATCTGGAATTCAAGTTCCACTGACAAAAATCAGGAATCTGGAATGAGGAATCCAAAGCGTTGAATACAGAATCCAAGATCGACTGTCTTGGATAACCTTACATGAAGGGAGCCTTGCTTTTTGTTTGAGAACGCTGAGTCAATTTAGGTTTCTGTGAAACTGCCCACCTACCCCTTCCCTAACCCAACATTTTGCCCCAAGTGAGACGCAAATGTTAACGTTGAGTTAGGGGTGGGGTGGTGGGCAGTTTCCTAGAAACCTTAATTGACCTACAACGCTCAGCATTTCTGTTTGTATTGTAAGTCCATTTGTGAAATCTTGTAAAAATTATGACGACAATCCAAAGCTGCAGTTCGGATAACTAGTCACTTTTTTTTACCGGATTACTTTTAATTAGCTATCTAAATTTACAGCCATATGACTCGGACGGAAAAAGGCCCTAGGTTCCTGCATAACAAGAAGAGCGATGTTCTTCGCTTCATATTTAAATTAAGCCCTCCTTTCTGACATGTCTTGGAAGAGAAAATTTGTTGGGGGGGGGGGAAGATTTTCCCATGATTAAAATATGCTTTGATGGGCAACGGAAGAGAACAAAATTCATATTTCGCATGGGCGTTAGAATTTGCTGCTTGTGTTTAGCACGCCAGTGACCGTCATTCATTTCCATATGACTTCTTCCAACTGGAAATTCAGGTTAAAAAAATGGCAAGATGTCTTAAAATTACTTGCTAATGTGTCCAATAAAATGCAAATTCCTCTTTCCAAAAATACAGTCAACACAGTGGGAGACTGATGCCGCGACCATACCGCTGTCGACGCTTGTTTTAACCAAGCCCGGTTAACGTTGCATACATGCCAGATGCCTCGATCTGTTGTAGCAGGTACATTTTCTTTAGCTATAACACACATAGAAAAATTTTTCAGTATTCAGTGAATTAGGTTCTTATAAGACGAACGAAAGAAAATAATTTTAAAAAACGATCAAAAACGTTCTATTTCCCAGCGCCAAACTTTTTTAAGCGTTTAATAAAATAAATATAAAAAAATTTAGGCAGCATGCGGGAAATATATAGGCAGTCTCCTGCGAAGGTTATTTATCCGAGAAGGGTAATTTATATTTGAACACTTTATTTCACTGTTTTCGCTTCGTTCTAAAAAGGGTAACTGCAGCTGGCTGGCAAGGTAAGAATATTCTATTCTGATTGGTTTGATACGTATGACGTCTTAAACTATAGCACGTGTATCCTCAATTAAGATTAAGCAAGTAAGATTAATCTGCAAGCTTTGCCGAGCAATATGTAAAAACATATGAGTTTGCAAAAGGCTAGCTTTGACAACTGTTAAACTTGTAGAGTATCTTAATTGTATCAAGTTAACGTTCTGTCGTGAAGTTTTCGCACAAATTTAAGGCTGTTGCGTCGCACATTTCGATTCGAACCGTGGACAACTGGCAGCCGGACCATGTCTACTAGCGAAAAAGACAAAGTGGATTGGAAACTCGACCTGCTTGTTTAATTCATCATTATCTCTTATGGAATAGGCGGTATATTCTTGTGTTACCATTTATGGCCGATGATCAAAGATATTTGGCGATCTTATTATCCGGAGACTGAGAAGCCCAAAACTCCGATGGAAAAGAAGACCGAGTAGACGTCGTCTTAATAGATTTATTTAGTGGGGATCCGATTAGAACTGTTGTGCTTCTAGGACTACTACAAACAAGATGAACCTGCCAATGAACTGAACTGGAGCCGTTAGCTATACATTTTACATGTAGGATAATAAATTCATTTAACTCTAGTATCTCGACTTCTCGGTGGCCTTCGCTTGAACAAGATAAAATGTCATCAAAATTTCTTTTTAATATGGTAATCCACGAAAACTGAAAACGTAATAAAGTTTCTTCAGACTACTCCGAAATGTGGTGTGTATTTTCTGATGTTGAAAAGCAATTACTCGAAGTTGAGCAAAAGTGATATTGCATGTGATTTGTCAGTGACGAGCAGGTCAATTATTTGCCGAGGCCGATAAGCATAGGTAAATATTGCGAGAGTTGTATTATCATGCAATAAGAATGCTTGTGTTTTTATGTAACTTAATGTAGAAAAGAGAAACCGCCATTTTCCTAAGAAACATGAACAGTGATGGAGTTAAGTGCAAAACAATTTTTTTCTACTGCGCATGCTTGTACTAAATGCTCTTTCGCAATTATCTGCATAAGGTAAGGCCAATCAAAACTTCGCCGAAAAAAATAATTTGTATGATAATTTCGACTGGTTCAACTTTTCTATCCAGTAAGACATTGATCTGACGTTGAGGAAACGCTAGATTTCCACAGGGTAATTTATCAAACAGGAGAGGCAGTGTTTTATTCATCATAGACTCCTAGCCGACTGGATATCTTATGAAAATCTCTATAAGTATAGTATTTGATATGTCTTCTCAAATAAATAATTATTACTGAAAACATAAAACTTAAAGTTTAAGTTCGCATACTGTTAGTTAGTATAATTAGTAACCAATATCCAACCTTTTTTTTAGCTTCATTTTCTTTTCGTGAATTTTAATGTACTCAATTACAGCTGGACACAGCTTCATGAAGTAGTTGCGAACAAACGCGGAGCTAAGGAGCAAATAACATTACCGTGGGTAGCTTGTGTTTTTTATCTTATTTAATGTCCAAGAGGATAGACAGTACTTGTCCATTTCCTCCTGCTCATTGCTTGTATTTTTGGCTGTCCTCGTTTCATGCAGGCGATGGTTATTCATGTGGACTACATTATTTACGTTTTCAATTTCATCATCTATGTCGTCCTCTGCGGCTTACTCATCAAGCAAGCAAGACAGGACATTTTTGCAACCGCCAAAGAGGAAAAAGAACGAACGGCAGGATGTCCAGTTCACAGAATTCCAAAAGCAGCTATAGCAAGAAGAACAAGTTGCTCTAATTTTTCATATCAGGCCTGAAGATGAATATATTTCTATTCCAAACGGAAAATGACTTTTCTAAAGATACTGTGACATCTGAGGTTGTTTCAGATACTAGTGAGATACTGAATTTGTGTCTCAGTAGTTTCTGATATTCTGTCATGAGTTGCTGTATCATGTGCTTTGTCATGCATATCACTGGATGACAAGCCTCATTAGTCCGAGCCGTCTTTAACTTCGCATTCTAAGCGCACTCTATTTCTCTTAGATCAATATATAGTTCTGTTAGTTATTATAAACTTTTCGTTGAAAGAGCCTTTACATGTAACAATGTTCTTCCCTACAAACGGCCCTTCACCCTCGACATAAAGCTGCAATGGCATGCAAAGACTGCCAAGGTTATTTCTCTATGGTCCTCCCGCTTTGTTACATTGAATTTGATCAGCTAGACCAGAAGCAAGTATGTGAAATGTTTTCCAAGATACTGTCGCCGATAGACTATTTGAAAGAGGAAAAGAGGAAGATAATTCGATAGTCTAGCGAGCTGTGTCTTAAGTTGAAATCATCCAGTCCTAATATTCCGTTCAAAGTTGCCATAAATGTACGTTTTAACTTGATAACGTTCCACTCGGTATAAGAATATTGTTTAGCTCAGTAGAGTAAAGAGAGGCAGAAATATTGTTCTTACCGATTTTTCTTTACATAAATAAATTAAAATCATTTGAACAGTCTGGATGCGTTTGAGGGTACTTGACAGCTGCTACCAGGCGGATCTAATTTGCAGGGTCGGCCAGGGTTTTGGGGTATACGGTATACAGGGGCTTTTTAAATCGGGTATACGGTATATTGCAGCTTAAATACGGGTATTCGGTATATCAGTTTCTTTGAATTTCAGGTGTAAAGTATACCTGGGTATAATTTTGGGTATATTTGGATGAATTTTGGGTAATTTTGGGTATTTTGGCGAATTTTTTTCGCTACCCCCATCTGGCCGACCTTGAATTTGGGTCGATGTTTGAAAGCCTTACCAATTCTGTACTTAGCTCAGCGAACCTTTATTTTTAACGCATCCCTAACCCTAATATAACAGCAAAGTTAAAACCTTATTGCATTAACCCAAGGGAATTCAAGTACAAACATCACTTTCATAAAACCCAGCAATTTGTAAAGAATGGATTTACATATAATTTTTTTAACCCCTATTCAAATTGATACAGCCTCGTGAAGGTAAATCATCTTTTCACTTGTGTCATAGTTTCCGCTTTTGCATGGCACAGAATCAAAACGTCTTATCAGCTAATCATATAGAGAAAAGCAGCTGAAGGTGTCGTACCAGACAAAAAAAGTAACTTTTGCGGTAACAAGATAATGTTTCCTGAAGACGGTATCAAGATGTGGGCAACTGCACTCGTTGTTGCTGTAGCCATTCTGGGGGCGACATTCTCCAGCAACCCAGAAGGTATTTCAAAAAAGGCCAGGTTGCAAAGGGGAAATCATCACAAAAATAATCACAGGGGTTTGCTCACAGACATGGGAATCGTGCTATAAAGAAGGTTCCCTCACTGACCCTCAAAACAGTCTCAGTAAGCTGAAGAAATCAATTCAGTAAGCTGAAGAAATTCAATTCATTCCATCAAGCAAGGCTTAACAAATCAGATCTGTCAACGGTGTTTCGGCCAGTTTTTCCAACTAACTCGTAATTAATCAAACTTGAAAAAAAAATGGCCCAATTATTTCAAGTTCGAGCTAATTCCTCGCCTTTCCCTCTCCCTCTCCTATAATTAATCAAATATTACCAGGAAGCTTGAGCAACGGCGACGAAAAGTGAATTTCACTCTCTTCTGTCTTCAAAATCCACCACACTCTTCTTGACTCCATGTCGTTCAATTTGTCAACTGTTGATGAATTTTTCTGTATTCTGTCTCTAATTAAGTTTAAAAGAAAGAAAAATCGTTGCCTTGGGTTCACATCCTCCACAATGAGTAAAATTACGCAGTCTCACGTTGTGCGTAGTCGTAAAACGGCAAAGAAGTATGCAAAAAGGCGTGATGGACGCACAAGGTTTTTTTTTTTTGCTGTTATCGTTCTTGTCCTCTTCGTGGTTGCTTAAGTTCCCTTCTTTATAGCTTCTAGACATTCTTAGTAGTACCTTCAACGAGCATCCAGCGACAGATGGTGGATTTTCATTGATACAAGAATTTCTGTTGGATTTTCTCAAGAAGTCACCAACCTGTGCCTTTAAGAAATAGTCTCTGGATTTCCCTTTGCCTCTTCTACCAGCTCATTGAACTGGAACCCTTACACTCGGGTCCTCTCTGTCCTGTAAAACTCTACTGACAGTGTTATGAACCGCTCTATGGATATTTTCTTAACGTTTCATGTCGGATGTCCCATTACTTTTGAAGCCGTTGAAGCTGTTGAAGCTGGGTTAATACAAAGAATGGGTGATCTTTTAAGTCATTGAGCTGACCGCAAAAATAAAAGTCTATATATTGATACAGGATAAGCAATGAAAACAAATTTTCTTTTTCCAGTCGGGAAACTCACACCTGTTGGTCTCACATTAGAGCCACTTTTAAGGATAGTTTAACATGTAACGAGTAGAGGAATGTCTTATCAATTTTATAACACGAGGCGCGAGTGTTTGAGACTTGAATGAAAAGATAGACTTGAAATCTTTTCGGCTCTAGATCCTTTCTTTCATCATTTATTGTTATTAGTTTTATATTAATTTTCCCGCAAAACATTTAGCTAGAACATTACGCGTTTTTTATCGGTTTCAGTGTAATTTATTTTTTACTTTCTTTGTGAAATGTTCATGGATTTTTCAACGAACAGAGAACATAGGATCAACGGACCCCAATCTGTTTGAAGGAGACATGATTCTAACTCCCGAACAAAAGGCCGCTGTCATGGCGGGCCAGGATGTGGACGCGCCTGTGACAAGAGGGTCAATCAATGGAGGAACTTGGAAAGGCGGAGTTATGTATTACAAAATAGACAGGGGCCTTAGTAAGTCTAGAATCTTGCTGAATATCGGGCTAAATGTCTATCGCTCTCATAGAGACGATTTTAATACTTTTGCCAGACATGTTTTGCTCGTCCGCTCGGCGCTAAGAATGTGTAAACATGCCTATTTGTTTTCCGTTTCTATTTGCCCTTGCTATCAAGGTGAATTTTTAAATTCACGATGAATTTTTAAAAGCCCGATGACAGACAACCACCACGCTGAGAAAGCTGACTAAATATGACGTCTCGCCTACATGCAAACATCCATACGTCGATAGAATGATATAACATCGTGCAGTCGCTCAGCGAAAACACTGACTTTTGAAATGTTATAGAACTAAGGACGACGACGAAGAAGAAAGGAATTTTGATATGCACGGTTTTTCAGTCATTAATACACACATTGTAGCACGGGGACAAGGAAGATCAAAAAACTGTCTTAACCCTCCCTAACACTGATCCACATGCAAATTCGTCCGATCTTTTCCCATTCATTTCCTTATCGAACTGGTTGGGAGAATTAAATAAGAGATCAATTAATCGTTTTCCCTTTGGTGATCATTTATTAGTTCTCCTAACCGATTCTCTTGATGATGTATTGATATCGTTGAGAGAAAAGTGATGTCTGTCACTGCTGGGAATTGAAGAGTTTTTATACCCATACCCCTCGAGTCATACCACTTTTAATTATTCACGTATTCAGTCACAAAATACGGAAGATGCCTATACCGAGCCAGGACTTCGAGCCGGGACTCGATTTAGGACTCGACAATTTTTCGCTTTCCCGCCTTTTTCACCTCCTGCAAGTCACTTGACCATTAAGAGGAGCGTTAGGGTGAGGGTTAGGGTAAGGTTAGAGGGTTAGAGTTAGGGTTAGGGTTAGGTTAAGGATATATATATAGGGATAGGAAGTTAGGAGTCCTTTTTGTTGCTTTTATTTTACTCTTGTTTATTTTTTTAAGTATTTATCTTACTTATCTATTTTTCTGCTTACAGAAAGATTAGAAAAGTCCTAACTGGAGTCGAGTCCACGGTCAATGTCCTTGCTCGAGCCTCGTGGCTCGAGCCCTGGCTCGAATCCTGGCCTTGATGTTAGTTTATCTCCAAAATACGTCTTAAAATTTAATTAAAAAGGAATACAAAACCTGTTACGGCATCAAAAGTGCAGAGATTCATTTCATTGTTTTCTTCTAGCACATTGATATATTGATGAAATTCAAGTTTAAGTTCTCTAAAATGTACCTGTTGCAGGAAGCAACAATCGAGCTATGAACGCTATCAGAGCTGGAATGAAAATGTGGAGAGACACCACGTGCGTCCGATTCGAAGAGGCTAACAGGGAGCGAAGAAGTTATGCCAACTTTCAAAATGGAGGAGGGTGAGTGATACTAAAATGGCCGGAAACGGAAAAAGAAAACCTTGAGTGAAAGCTAGCAAATGAAATACCTTTTTAGATAACGTACAGTAAATCTTCTATTCCTCCCTCCCCGAGGGGCTTATTTATTTCAAACACGTTTGAGGGGAGGCTAATAGAGACGGGGAGCTTATTAGAGATGGGGGGTGGGGGGCTTATTTAATTTAGCAAAGATGGTGATATCAGCTCTGCATAAATAACTAGAATGCAAAGTGGAAAAGCTCAGTACAGGAGGTTGGAGGTCATGCAACCGAGGTTCAAAAACAATCCTGAATCCTGAATACACCGAATCCTGATCAGTTCAAATGACGTTATATATAGTCTAGCATTTATTAATGAAGAATAATAAGAGGAGGAGAAAAGGTGGCTTATTAACTTTCTTCCCCCGAAAAAGGGGGACTTATTTGAGAGAGGCGGCTTAATAGAGGATATACGGTACTTAAATTAACTTACGTCTTGGAAAACCTGACGAGGAATCGGATTGAGAAATTAACCAGCTGAAAAAATCCGGACATCAGAGAACAAATAATCATTGGTGATTGGCTGTGAAGTTGAACTTTAACATACTAGTAACAAAACAGAAGATAAACTTTTTCATTAGGACTAGCAATAAAATTTTTCCCTTTTTTTAAAAAAAAAATCAAAGATGCGGTAATTTTACATTATGCATCAACAGTTGCTCCTCATATGTTCGTCAAACGGGCCGACCTCAGCCTATCACTTTGGCAAGTGGCTGTTGGACTCCGGGAATAGTAGCTCATGAAATTGGTACGAAAGGTGTAAATCCTGGCAGTTCTTTAATTTAATCTTTTATGGTATAATATAATGCAAACATTCACATTTTAATAGCTGTTATGCTGGTTTACGTCAGACCCTCAAATTTTACTAAGCCCGCTCCAAAGAAGCCAATAAGAAATCTAAGAGTGTAAACATTGCTTTTCCTCTTCTCCTCGCTCTCGCTATGTTTCCTCTTCTAATTTTCCTCCGTTAGTGTGATTTTCAGTTAAAATTATCACAAATTTTGGTTTAGTTATGATGGCGTATTTTTGAAACTGAATGAAATATTTTGATGGGGAGAAAACAACTGAAAATTGACAAACTTAAAACTCATTCTTTTTGTGTGAGACCAAACACTAATTAAAAATAAATGAAGAAAGTTTGAGTGAAATGTCTGTATTTAAAATAATTATTGATGATAAATCATAGTCATTTACAATTTTGTAGAATAAGCTGAAGATACAGTTAATAAGATTATATATAGAACTAATCAAAACAAATCAAAACTATGACAAAATCTCAAATCTGATTGGCTATCAACTGCCGTGATTTCAGCCTTAATAGGACAGTTCAATAGGACAGTACGCGTCATGCCTGTTTGGACTCCACTCAGCCCTGTTTCCATTACATATCTACTCATCATGAGATCACAATATTTAAAGTATGCTGTTTATTCTTGTTCGACTTTCATTTAACAGGTCACGCGCTCGGTTTTTATCACGAACAGTCCCGTCCAGACAGAGACAACTACGTCACCATTTATCGTCAAAATATCGTGTCAGGTATGAAATGATTAACTTCTGTTACATCGATGACATTGGCCTGTTGTCTTGAATTGAATGAAGTCTATTTTGTCTAACTCCATGCAACAGGATGTGTCAAGTTATATTATACTAATTGGTGAACGTTTTTATCCATGACATTGAGACACTATGCTAAATAACTTCATCATCTTGTTGTCCTTTCCGAACTGATCGAAGAACATTTCTTCGTGTTTAATTTTATTCGTTGGGTGAAACCAGTGGGATGTGAAGATATTAACGTTAAGGACATTAAAGTACGCAGGGTCTCTCTCCAGTTGGGTATACTTCGTCCCTACTATACTACTATGATTCTAGATGGCAAGTAACATAAAAAAAACTAGAGACGAATTGCTTGTTTAAAATGCTATTGATTGTGGTATTCTATGGTCTGTCTTCGAAGTTGGCTTCTCTTTCTTTACTAATGGCAATGCGATTAAAAAAAGAATCACCAAACCATGAAATAATTAATTGAAATATCGTCAGCACTCCTTTTTCGTACGTAAGCCCCTGCACATGCCTTTAGAAAGGATGACAAGCATGCTGTACGGCCGGGTGCGTAGGCGTCTTTGTTATTTTCAGTTACACAATGACGATATATTAGCTTTTCTCCAGTTGATACTGCTATGAATGACTCTGAGTGTTTCTTTACAAAGGTGATTCGGTTCCTTTTCCAGTTGACCAGTTTCGGGAACAATAATGGATGGAACGTAAGGTCTTAAAATCACTTGTTTTGGCCTTTTTTCGTAATAAAATGTTGAAATGTAGTACAAATTAACAATTAAAGATTATAATCTAGCATTCCAGTAGTCCAAAAACAAAAACGTTGATGAGAATTGTCACAAACTTCCGCGTATTGTTATCATTCTTTCATAAGAACAATCAAGCGTCCCCTTATAATAAGTACACTCACTTCTTCACTCTCAACTTTTAAAAGCCTACTGTGTTTTATTACAGGTATGGAGTTCAACTTTAACAAATACGACCGTTCAAAAACTGATTCCCTTGAAACACCATACGATTATGGCAGTGTGATGCACTACGACTCAAAAGCCTTTAGCAGAAATGGCCGCCCTACAATTGTTGCTAGGGAACCGGGGGTAGGTTTTGTATTAACCTTAATAATAGAGCCGCTTTAGCATATTTTCAAGGGGTTTGTAAGTGAGGGCTTTCATGTTAGCCATCAATTTAGATTGGAACAATTTGCCCAAAAGACATCGAGTACCCATATTTGTCTCCCAGGCGCGCCACTGAACTATATTTGGACACTTGTGGTAAAACCTTTTTGCTTGCAGTCGTTTCTGACTCGTCTTATATGTGGTACTCAAGAAGTTCGATCGATTAGAAAGGGCTTTGTAATTCGCATCCGTAGGTAATCAGGTTCTTAATGTAATAAATCAAATATGAGACAGTGTTTCATAATAAGACCAAGCATTGAGAAGAGATCGTGCTGAAGATTTGACGCGCAGCGGTGCACTTTGGTCTACTTTTGACGAACTTCGAGGTGTGTGTAGCCTGTGCCACATAATATTTTGTCTGCGACGCAGGCCAAGGTGTGTGATATTGTGATGAAGTACTACTTGGAATGTTTCATATCGATTCTGATTTTAAAGGGCGCAATTGAAGACTGATGCAAAAATGAGGACTTTTGCAACTGATTTCGAAAAGCTCATTAATCATTAATTTTTTTTGTATTTTCTTTATACATAATTCAGATGTGTTTAAATGGCAACGTTGGCTTTGACTTCGCTGTTTTTTTTTTAAACAGAAGAAGAATTATGGGCCTCCATGCAATCCAATCGTTTTGTTACAGTTTTGTTTGCTGTCGGCCTTGTAGTGGCTTTAACGTCTCCACGATCAAGAGAACAGCTTTATGTAGCTAGAAGGGTGTAGAGCACAGCTTGAATAAGGAAGGAAGCTGTTACATCTATTGTAACGGAATAAACAATACATACAACACTCTACTTTGTTCGCCAGGTCCAGCTGGGCAACCGACATCGTCTTAGCAAAATTGACATACAGCAAATGAACTTGTTGTACAAGTGTTCTGGGGTTGGTGGTGGTGGTGGACCTCAGCCACCCCAGTCGCCTCCCCCTCCGACTCCTCCTTCCGAGTGCCGAGACACTGGAAGGTACTGTTCCTATCATGTCCCGAGGGGAGACTGTAAGAGGATGCAGATCGTGCGGCGGAAATGCAAGAAGAGCTGTGGTCTGTGCTAAAGAATTGGTAAGAAAACTTGTTCATAATATGCGTGGCAGGCGCCCGTTAGTTTTTTTTTTTTGGGTTAGATTTTATAGAGCGCAAGAGGGGAAAGCTACGTGTAGGCTAACTTGATTATGGCTGCTAAGCTAGGTCAGACGTACGTTTTCACATTTTTAGAAAAATTAGTAAAACACTAGCTCGGATGGGATACTTTTTTCGGGGTCAGTTTTATTCTGGAACCCCATCACTCCACTTCCCCTTTCCGCACACCAACCCCCCCCTCCACAAAAGATATACAGTATCCTCCAAAGTTTCTATCCTCGTACTTGGCTTAAACCCTTTTCTAAGCAGGCAATGTGTTTTTATATTGTTTGAAATGACGATATCGCAGCTCTACGTTCCTTGCAGCAGTGTTGTAGCTTTGATTGATAAAACCGAAAAACTAGTTTTAAGAGAATTTTTTCATATTCATAGGTTGGAAAGGTGATTCTATGGATTGCTGTCCTTAAGAATCAAAAGAACTAAAACATTAAATTTGTTGAAAGCTTACGTCTCTGTCTGGTTAATATTTTAACGCATGAACGAACGAACTGCCGAATGAATGGATGGAGAGATAGACCGTATAAGGAATGGTATATTAGGTTTCTGTCCTTAAATAAGGCCCGGTTCAGACGCCGCTTCACGCAATGTGCCGAACCTAACTGATGAATTGAGTACGGGAGAAGAGCGGTGTCTGAACCAATTTGGTACGGCAGTTTTAGTTTGGTGCGGCAAAAACGTTTGGTGCAACAAAAGTTCGACAGATAACTTAGGCTCGACGCACAGTACGTGCCGTCTAAATCAGATGTCGCGCCAGTGTCGCTCCAAAGTCGAACTTATTCATTTAGGGCCGGCTCGGCATATGAAAAGTATGGGCGTGTGAACCAGGCCTAAGCCTTCCACCACCTCTATTTACCTGCATGCATGTCCAAATGAACCAAAAGGCACATTCATTTCCTTTAAATTTGGTGAGAGTTGGTTGCTAATAAACTATGAGATATGAGGTCACATTACAGAGAGTGGCATGAGGTTAAAAAAAACCTTTTTCGCGCTTCTTTACTTGAAAACTTATAAAGCAGGTCCAAAAAGGCCAAATGTTTCCCATCTATAAATCTTAAGCTTTAATAGAATCCAAGATAGGTTCAGGTAAAGTTCCCAAAGTAACGACCTCCCGAAAGTTAGTAGCGACCCTTCGAAAGCAGCGATAAAATTTCACAGGTGTTAGCAATTGCCAAAAGTAGCGACACTCCGAAAATAACGACCCTTTGAAAGTAGCGACTTGAAAAGTGATTTCCCTTCTTGCTAGAAATAACGGAAATTATAGTTACAACAAGGATTACCGTAAAGTTCCCAAAGTAACAACGTTAATCGACCTCCCGAAAGTAGCGACCCTTCGAAAGTAGCGATAAAATTTCACAGGTGTTAGCAAATGCCAAAAGTAGCGACACTCCGATAATAACGACCCTTTGAAAGTAGCGACTTGAAAAGTGATTTCCCTTCTTGCTAGAAATAACGGAAATTATAGTTACACCAGGCTTTACCGAATCGGTCCGAGATTTATCTTTTAACGCCGGATTATAATGATCTTTGACATTTATTCAGCGATTCATTTATATAACTCAAAAGGTACATTACAACTTTTTTTTAAGTCTTCCTTTCGTCTGTGAATACCCACACCGTTATCAAAAAAATCTTTTGAATATTTATTTAAAAAACAATGACTTGAAATAAGCTTCTCCAAATAAAAAGTGTGGCCGTTTTCACAATAGTATCGTACCCGAAAGTAGAGACCTCCATTCTCGTCCCCAGAGCCACTCGACTTAATTTGTAGCAAGACCACGTGACCAAGAAACGACTCGACGTGCTCTGGGGACGAGAATGAGCGATCTCTTGAAAGTAGCAGCCCTCCGAAAGTAACGATAGGAAAAGGCAGCTAAATCAGAAAGTAACGAGGGTCATTCCTTTGGAACTTTACGGTAAATTTATTCCTCCTTCTCACCCGGACACACCGTTTTTATCCTCTCTTTGTCCGTATCCTCGTTTCCGAGAAATTCTGCGGTCCGTATAGGCTTTTTATTACGTATATAGGTCTGCAATTTATAGAACAGAGAAAAGCGGAATTCGAACTGCATGGTAACGTACATGTACGTTTATTCAAAATATAAACTGCAGGTTTTTGTTTTTTTAGTCCTTGACGCAAACGCCTCCATTTTACCTGACGTCACAGAGTTTGGTAAAATTTATTTTGGGAACTGTGGGACGTCTTTGCTGAGGCAACCACCCACAATTATATTCTATGAGTTCAAAAGACTACTTTAACCAATTAAGAGCGTGTATCCGTAAAAACCGACCAGTGATTTTGGATCAAAAAATTAATTTTCCTTATATTCTGGGATATTAAAGCCTCCACCTTAGTAGTTGCAAAAATGCATTTCGTTTGACCGAAAGTGATAAATATATTTTTTTACGAATTTTTGAATTTCCGGGCGGTCAGCGCCGGCGCCATAGCCGCTCAAAGTGCGAAAATCGCTAATATTGACCGCGCTCTAGAAAACAAACACCTGGCTTAAAAAGACTGATTTTCTTTTCCGTATACAGATACACCACTGTAGATTTCCTAGCCGTATCACAGTTCCGAATTATTTGTTTATTTCCAACGGCAATGATTTTTTTCCCCAGCACGTGTTTTCGGCTTTCCATCAAAACACGAAAGTAGCTCAACTTTGAGGGTAATTTTAAAAAGTGTGGCACCTGTCTGAACTTCGCTATCTGTATGAATACAATCTAGGAATGATAATAAAACTCAACAAGGAATAACATTTTTGTGCTCTCCACGTTTTCAGAATAGGCCGCCGTTTGAATTTCCAGAAATTTCGTAAACCAGATAATTAACGAACACTCGCCTTGTCGATCTGCTTGTCAAAGTCCAACTTCATTTGATGGCTTGATGGGTCTTATCCAAGTTCTTTCACATTTTAAGGTTATTTCTTAATCATCTGAAACTATATTGGCCGTTGATTCCATGTCCTTGGTCCGTTTTAAGAAGTTATCTTGTTTATAAAATAGCAGTATCCGCCAGCGTGACTGGTTCGTGACACCGTCCTGAAAGGTCTTTTGCTAAAATTAGTTGGATGCAATCTTGTTCATTGAGATTGCTCTTCAAGACATCGCGGGGAAATTTGTAGAGCAAATAAAACACTTTTCTTTGCAAATAAAACGCGATGAGTCGCTAACAAGGCGATTTAACCCAGTTCAGATTAAAGTTGAAATTTGCGTGACTTTTTTATTTCATCCCCAGTCCTTCTGGACTGGACACAAATCAAACAAGGGGTAACATGGCTACTGATACAGTGAAGTGTTCTTTCTCGGGCTTCGGAAAATCTAGTTTTGGAGGTTTTCGAGGTTCGGATACAGTATGTAGGTTGCGAGAATGCCAGGAAGATATAACGATCCACTTGAAGACATGCCATCTTTCAAAACTATCTGGAATGATGGAGTACGAACTGATACTAGTCAGGGCGGGGCTATTCGATGTGCCAAAACACCGGCAAGAAGAAATGTTCGTGTGTCCAAAACACAGACATAATTTGGGTCGCAACTGGCGTCCGTTGAGGACATGTCGATATCCTCTTCATTCAGGAGCAAGGAAAAAGCTAAAAAATAATCATGTTATCAACTTAGAGATGTCCAAGAATATTCACGCAATTTTTGGAATCACAATTCCCATTGGGTCAGGTAAGCATTCTACTACACAATATTTTACGTTTTCCCTTTTTTGAGGAGCAACGATTGACACAGTTGGTTATTGCGTAGCCCTTGGAGTCTTCTGTGTGAGAGGTCTTGAGATTGATGTCCATGGCCAGGTGTGAGAAATTCTTTCCGTGTAGCTTCAAGTAGCTTAAATACCCGTAAAACGGAGTACTGATGAAGAGGGCGTTTAAAAAGGTTTGTCTTTCAGATAATGATGAAATGATCATTTCGAAGTACCGACGTATGTGAGGCGCCTTTACTTTTTAACTTTCAATAGAATAAAAGAACTCTTAAAACCAAGGTAAATGTCATGGTCAAGTATTCCGAATTGTGTAACAAACTTTAAATCTAATTATAAATAAAGACCAAAAGAGAAGGTCGAGGGAATAACCATTCAACGTTGTTGTAAAACCTTGAAAGGGAATCGTACAATAAGGTGTTTATTTTTCCGGCTATTTATATCATAACCAGTTATATTTTTTGGCAACAGTGCCACGATGTAAGTGTAGAAATCTTGGATTGAGTAAATAACAAGTATGAAATGAACATTCTTGTTTTACATTGTTTGGTCAAGCGCGTTAGTATAATTAGGACAAGTATATTTGTTACAACACAGACGTTCAAAAATACACAAGTATTCCTGGATTTTTGCGAGATTTAAAAGGTGCTTAGAATGTCTTTACAGGACTGTCTATTTTTTAAGTTGATTCATAGCGTTCTATTTTTCAAAGTAAGAGATAATTTCGGTAAAGTAGCCTACATGCACGTGACCCACGAAATTATGCGAAACACTTGGCAATGTTCCCCTTCTTTAAAAACCCTATTTTGTGAGTATCGGGGATTTGTATTTGAAACGTTTTTTAACCCTGCTATATGCTATATCCTGAAAACTGTTTTTCCGACACCTCAAGACCTAACCGCGAGATTAAAAACTGTTTTGAGTTTATTTTGCCAGTTGTCAAATATCAATTCAGTGTTGGTTCTAAAAGTAAGTTTTACGCTACGAATCGACTTTGACTAAAAGTTAAATTCATCATTGTGATACTTTTTAATGCACAGCAATTTGCACTACTTGTGTCAAGAAGCAAAGACAAAAATATGAGGAAAATAAACGTTGGCTGGGGGAAAACACTGAGAGTGAGAAATTAGGGGAATATGAAGAGACAAGGTGTGTTTAAGGTGACTCGACCCAGTTTTTTTTTTTTGGGGGGGGTGCCATCCTACTTTGAAGCTCTCTGGTATCCCCACCTTTACTTTTATCGTAAGTCTAACACATAGAATGTATAACGTATAGATCAATCTACAATATAACATAAAATTTTTGACGATCGGAGTAAATGTCATGTGGTTATAATGCCACGCCCCTTTGAGGTCTGAGTCAAAAATCTGCTGTTGCCGGTATTTTATCGTGAAAATTTCTCGGCTACACATAGTGCGCATTAGTGCCTTGCCCAACCAAAATCGCAAAGACCCAATTCGAGAAATTCAGCGGTTTCCAAATTTAGGTGATAATTTATGCGAAAATGATAAGCAAACTTTACACGATTATATCTAATAAACTATGAGATTCATCCCTTTATTTTGGGCATCGTTATAACAGATGGGTCCTTGCAAGTCAGCAAAGAGCTTTAGGGCCTTGTAAATGCGCGCGATTTCGAGCAAAGCAAACATATAGAAATTATAGTTTTCGCTATTTGTTGACGTTTGTCAGCGTTTAAGAGCCTTCTCACGAAACAGCATTTTCTTAAAAATTCGTAGTTTTTTTTCCTTCAAATTTTTTCAGAGCCACAATTGATTAACTAACTACCCGGACTCTGACTTTCATGGTCATTAAAATTTGAAAAACTGTGACATTATCTTCTCTAAGCCCAGACTTGAGTAAACAAGATCAGAAAGGACTGGGCAACAAAATTTACATCAGTGGATGTGGCTGTGAAAAAATCTACACCATTTATGTTGGCGTCCGAATCATCAACTGACGTAGAAACCCTGCAGATGGGATGGGCACTAAGCAAGGCCCACGCAGGTTCCATCCGGTTTTCTCGTGAGGTTAAAGAATATCTTACAGCCAAGTTTGAAATTGGTGAGCGGACTGGCCGCAAGGCGGACCCTGTTCAGGTTGAAAAGGATATGAGAACAGCACGGAATGTGAATGCCAGGGTCCAGTTCAATGAATTTCCGCGCAGCGTGGGGTCCTGGGAAGGACGTGGAAACTGTAGTAGCGTGGCCATGGTTTCTCAATTCTCTTAGCTGAAATGTGTTGAACCATTTTTGTCAGTGCGTTTATGTTAAGCTGAAGAAGAAAATGTATCGAAGTATGGCGATTCAATGTTAATTACATCGAACTTTACAGAAAATGTTAGGAAACAACCGTGTCACGCTCGCAACTGATGACGATCTCTATTACTTTTATACAAACTAGATAAAAGATGCCGTTGAAGGACAGGTTTTAAACAAAAAATTCTATGTTTTTAGAGTTAAAGCGGCTACTTCAGGAGCAAAAATATCCTCTACAAAAACCAAGAGGGACATTACAACCTAAGAAGTTAATAAACAAGTGAACGAGCTAGTATTTGTTCAGGTCATCACCCAATGCAGGAGAACTGGGGATGAAATACAAAGTCACGCATTTTTCAAGTTTGTCAGAAGACTTGGTTAAAACGCTTTGTCAGCGACTCATCGCGTCGTATTTGCAAAGGAACGTGTTTTATTTGCCCTACAAATTTCACTGCGATGTCTTGAAGAGTATAATCTCAATGAACAAGATTGCACCCAACTAATTTTAGCAAAAGACCTTTCAGGACGGTGTCACGAACCAGTCACGCTCGCGGATGGCTGCCATTTTTTTAAACCAGATAACTTCTTTAAACGGACTAAGGACATGGAATCAACGGCCAATATAGTTTCAGATGATTGAGAAATAACCTTAAAATGTGAAAGAACTTGGATAAGATATATCACACCATCAAATGAAGTTCGACCTTGACAAGCAGATCGACAAGGCGAGTGTTCGTTAATTATCAAGTTTACGAAATTTGTGGAAATTCAAACGGCGGTCTCTTCTGAAAACGTGGAGAGCACAAAAATGTTATTCCTTTTTGTGTTTTTCTATCATTCCTAGATTGTATTCATACAGATAGCGAAGTTCAGACAGGTGCCACACTTTTTAAAATTACCCTCAAAGTTGAGCTACTTTCGTGTTTTGATGGAAAGCCGAAAACACGTGCTGGGGAAAAAATCATTGCCGTTGAAATAAACAAATACTTCGAAACTGTGATATGGCTAGGAAATCTACAGTGGTGTATCTGTATACGGAAAAGAAAATCATGCTTTTTGAGCGAGTTGTTCGTTTTCTAGAGCGCGGTCAATATTAGCGATTTTTGCAGTTTGAAAGGCTATGACGCCAGCGCTAATCGTCCGGAAATTCAAAAATTCGTAAAAAAATATATTTATCACTTTCGGTCAAACGAAATGTATTTTTGTAACTACTAAGGTGAAGGCTTTAATATCCCAGAACATAAGGGAAATTAAAGGAACAGTATCCCGTTACTGCGCATGCACCAAACTATGATTTTTGGACAGGATGTCGCGAAATCAAAAGATGCGAGGGGAGTAAGAGAATCTTGAAAAATCCGTTTGCATCGCGCTTGGCCGGGTTCAATACGACACTAAAACTTCTCAGGATTATAGATCAATGATATATTGTTCTTGTTAAGTTTCGATTTTGGGCAAAATCTGGATTTTTTGGAGTTACTTTTATTGCCGTTGGCCGGAGGACCAAAAGATTAGAAGCAGTTTGATGCCGATTGAAGGCTTATTTCTTCTGCTAGCTTCCATACAAGCTCAGATAATTGTGAAAGGAATACGCAGAAATGAAACAGCAACAATAAAGACTGTAAGAAAGAAACCGTTGAGACATTGATGTGACTGAGGAGATCTTGTGGAGGGGAGCTTCGTGAAGCAGAATGTTTTCCAACGACGCGTTAGTAAACTTTTAAATGAATCTCCCTACGGCCGACAAAATCGAACAAACAGGCGCTACATGTTTTGAAAAACTAGTGACATGAAATCATAATATCATTTTTGACTAACCTTTGTGATGATTCATAGCGTTGAGATTGCATTTTTATTTATGTCTTTCAAACGTTTGAGGCTAGAACGCGAGCAAATCAGGCAGATATTACTGGACTTGGAGCTACTGACCTCTGACACGAGTCTCAAATTAGAAAATATGTTTTTAAAGCGAGCGGAACGAGATTTTCGGGTCGCGAGGCGGCCCAGCTAGCGATAAAATCGCGATGAGTCTTCGAACCGCGAGCCAAATTTTTATATAAGACGAAAGACTTCTTCAAACGTGTAAAATATTACTTGAGAATATAAACAACAAATCTCTGTCGGCGGTGCGGTCCGGAAGGAAATCTTGTCGAGTCAATTTGACAGTTCTATTGTCTTTTGAAGAAAAAACAGATGACGCTCGCGCGTGCGCATAATCGGGACACTGTCCCTTTAATTTTTTGATCCGAAATCACTGGTCGGTCAGTTTTACGGAGACACGCTCTTAAAAGCTAAAAAAGCGCATAAAGCCATTATAGGGAATTAGGTGGACAAGGACTGTGATTCTTGAAGACGAATTTATGTCAAAGTCGGTATTGACCTGTTTGGTTAAAAGGACAGTTGATAAGAAGAAAAAGGTTTTTATCCCTGACCGCAATATATAACCTTTTATTCAGTTGACCTCTTAAAGCGATGAGTCGTTGAATTCTGTAGGACCCTTTAGGGGAAATTACCTTACAGACCAAAATGTGGTCAGGAAAAGAACTAGAAAAGGAAAAAGATCAGGCTACCTTTATCATTCTTCCAGGGTTGCATTGCTTTCTATTAATATACATGTACCAAGGAATGGGATTGGACGGGTCTTCTTTGGTAATCTTTAGTTGATTAAATGGTATCCTGAATGGCATCAACAGTTAATCCGTTCAGAATAACTGGCTAAAATTGGTTTACGTAAGATCTCAGGAAATAATAAATTGAAGATATCTGATTGTGAATTTTCTCTAAACGAAAATGTTTCTAAATCTGGCTGGGGGTAAAGACTTGAACAGTAACATTCCGTAATTCTATTCAGGGGCCAATGTCAGTTTCGCTTTCTTTTGTATCAGCGCTCGCGTATTGTGCTTTTGTGGTTTTTGCCTGAGTTCTACAGCTGTATTTAACTTTTATGACAATGGCTGATATCTTTACGATATCTTTACTTCGTACGTCGGAGTATGACGTCTTCGCCTTATCCTCAGCCTAATAATCACTTCCGGTTGAATGAGGAGGAAGTTAGTAGGGTAGACTATTATGGTCTAACTCAGCTGAACTCGCTCATTTCTCAATCAAAGATGGCGGTACGTCGCCATCGGAGCCATAGAGCTCCTTCCGGTCAAGAGGAATGGCAAATGGCTCGGTCCTGGCTGAGCAGTTTAGATGTTTTACCTGAATTTCACAGAGCTTCCTACCCGCATGCATCCGTCTTCGATCTAGCACAAGCCCTTCGAGATGGCGTATTGTTATGCCAAGTGGCAAATCGGTTGCGTCCAAACTCTGTACCAGACATCAACATGCGTCCTCAAATGTCTCCGGTTTGTAATTTGTGGTTTTTTTTCGATCGCTTGTTCTTAGCAAGATTGGCGATAGTTAAACGTAGACTGAACATTCTTGAGTTAGATTTAATTAATGTCCAAATGGCCTGTTGTTTTGTCGATGCAGTCGAAGACCCACGATGATGTTTGTTGATTTTTTGACAAGCTACACCTTAAATCACTTTCACTGCTGCAATTAACATTTTTACTGCACTTCCTTTTTCATCCTAACAGTTTTACTGTATGAAGAATATTCGAAGTTTTCTGACATCTTGCGTACGGGATTTCGGCTTATCAAACGAAGCATTATTCGATGCAAGCGAGCTTTTCGACGTCTCGGATTTTGCTAAGGTAAGAGTCAGGGGTAAGCGTATAAGCTTACGTGGGCAGAGTAAGTCAAAGGTTCACCCTCAACAAATATTTCTATTCACGCTGGCGCTAGCAAGGAATTAATTTCTCATTGACAGATCTAGACGGCATACATTTTGCATTGCAGTCACTAACTTCGAACAAGCCAGAGCCGAGCGTGTAATGCGAAGTGTGTATTTTAACCTAGAGGAGCTGCTGGCCCTAATTTAACAGCTTTTCGAAATGGAAAGTTATTAAATTTATAAATGTCAATATTACTGCCATTTACAAAGTGCTCATTTTCTTACCTGTTTGTCTTCCTTACAATTTTAATGAGTTAAATTTTATTTCAACAAATATTTTAGGCCCATGAAATGTGATACAGTTGATGAAACATTGCAATGACAGTAACGATGTAGCACCGCAGATGTGTCATTTCAATTTTGAGTTCCAACTAAAGGAATGTTATCTTTGTTTATTTAAGACAGTAACAGCGAATCGGATATAAAATCACGAAGTGGCTGATTTGTACTGTTAACAATTATGTTATTCGTGCCGAGGTTTACTATTTTCTTTTCCCAGTATGCAAAATTGTTCAAATTCCATGGTTGAAGCGTTTTTGGTAACTTTATGACGAAAAAATAGTTGTTTAGGAGGAATCATCCAGAGTCATAGTTAATCTTGATTATTTTTTCAAACCCACTTGGCTAAAAGAATATTTACTTTAAAATAGGACCATAGTGTACATGTAGTTTACATGTCTAATAACCTAGTTTGTTAAACTAATAAATATATTTGACCTTAGAATGAATTATCAGGAAATTAGTTGTATAACAGGGAAAAGTTTTTGTTATGGGGTAATAGTTTCCTTCCTTATTGATGTTCTGACCCTGGAACAGTAAGTGGCAACATCTCATAGCAGAAAAATTTGTTCCTGTTAAACACAAAATGATAATTGCCAATCCATAAAGTACAGGGTCAAACTGTTACTCTGTTATGTTATTTTTAATTCCCTGGTTACAATGCAAAACATACCATGTAATTTGCTGCTGAAACCTTGGGGTGCACTCAAGGGAAGTCTGGGTAGAGCTCTGCTCAAATCCTGACCCTGTTTAAGACAAAACTTGCTCATTTCGCTACACTATTCATGGCAGGAGACACAAAATTCTGACCCTGATTTGTTTTGTTTTGCATACAGAATTAAGTACTTTCAGGAGCCAATGATCTAGAGGAAGCAACTCAGGCCTATGTCAAGGCGTTTTTGCAGACCAGTATATTTTTAGATTCATTTTAGAGCACCTTTTCCTACGATAATGGAAGCTCCACTTCATTCATGAATGCATTATAAATATATGATGTGACAAAGGAAACTTTTGGTTTTGCTGACAGGTTTGTGGGACCTGAAATATATTCTAAGTTCACAGCAAAATCCTTCGGAAAATAGTCAGTGAAAATGCCGTGATACGTGTACATGGAAGTTGCTCACTCCAGGTTATCACTTATGAGCTCCTGTAGACCACTCATTGCAAGCCTTCACACTCTGTGAAAGGTTTCCAGTCCAAAAAGACACCCCGTTCAAGACACTCAATAATTGGGCGATTTGTAGTGTTTGTATTCTTATTCAACCTTAAAGTACATTGTCACTGTGTATATGTTACAGGTCAAATCTTAAAGCAGGGTTGTCAAAAGTAGCTGGCTGCCGGCAAAAATCACCACCCACTTGGTTAGTATCGGCTGGCTACTCTGTTTGGTATTAATTTTCTTTACAGATGGCGTTTTTAAATAAAGTATCCCTGGCCGCTACTTTGACAACTCAGCCGTCTACTTCAAAACTTTCTGACAACCCTGCTTAAAGTACAGTGTATAATTGTCCCAGTGTATATGTTACAGGTCAAAATGGAATTCAGATAAAAATATCTCAACCTTGATTCTCAATTAGGGAATTGAGAATCAACCCAGGTTGAAAACCTGAATTTAATTTGACCTGTAACATATACTGTAAATTAATTTTGACAGATGGTAATTTTCTTGGTTTTACAGGTTATTAGAACTCTGTCAGTTCTTTCACAGACACAGTATGCCATTGCAGCAGGATTTGAGTGAGTTTTCATTTCTGGTGCATTGGTGTAGTTTTTTTGTAGTACAATTACACTGTGAGTATAGTCAGTCAAGTTTTTTTATTGAACTTTTGTTTCTTCACCTGATGCAATATCTCCTTCTTCTAACTGCCCATTTTTTCTGTAGTGCAATTTATTTTATTATCACCTTTCTCTATACGTTGTACATATATGTATTGTAATAAATATTTGAATGGGTAATACTGTGCCACAATGTATGTGTGCCTAAATACATGTAAAACATTAATTAAAGAAAAGATTTTTTGTACTGGTAGACCTGGTAGGGTTGCATGTCCTGCACTTGTACTTGCATTGCTAAAAATAGTCTCTTTTTTCTCTTAACTTTGCATGGGCGCTACATGTACATGTATACTGACAGTTTGTGAAGTTGTCAAGCATAGAACATGTAACACATTGTAAACATGTAGCCAGGGTTTATTCTAGAGCGCAACCTTGCGAGATTTCAGCAATTTGCAAAAAATGCTGCATAAAATTTACATTGCCGTATCAAATGGGACCCCCCCCCCCAAAAAAAAAATAGACCCAAGCATAAGTACCCTTTTTTTTCAAATAAAGTATTCAAAAACATCAGTGACAACAACACTGATGTGATGGCCACTCTATAAACCTACTTTGAACTTTTATAGCCTCTTACTGTCTCAATTGCCTTTGTCTTCTTCGTTTGAGTCATTATTTCACCTGACAAACATTCTGCAGTAATTCGAGTCCAGGCTTTTTCATTTGCCTAGAAATGAGAATTTTCCAAAATGGCAGCAAAGCGTCCCCCAAGGCAAATACCTTTTGAAGGACCCCCTTTCTTGGACCCCCTTTCTTGAAATATGGCCCCCTAAAATTACAGAAGGGGGCCCATTTGACCCCCATTGGCCAATTTCTGGAATAAACCCTGTGTAGCAGACTGTAGGTTGTTGAACTGACAATCTCTTCCTCTTCCTTTTAGTCCTTTTCCACCAGAAGATTCTGGGCACGACATTCAAGATGAGGATATTTATTCAAACCTAGAAGATCTTGCTCTGTAAGTCACAACTCTGTGTCTGTCTCCTTTACATCCGTCTTCCTTCGTAGAATCTGAAGGTCTTATTAGTCTTGATTCTAAAAGGAGCTGTTGCAGCACTTTCAAAAGAGCCGGACTTGTTACTTAGAACTCTGCATTGCCATTGTCACCCTGGTGACGCCACAATACTAGCTTGATTATTCAATCAAATAATATTTATTGTTATGCATTCAATCCTGTATACTTTTTCTTTGGCACACAGTTTTTAACAAACTAATGGGCATAATGCATCAGGGTTCTTAATAGAAGGCGGTACCCGGTGATTGATCACCGCTTACTTTGGGATTTATAGCCACTTACTTTGTGTTTAGGTCGCTTTTCTTTGCTTTGTTTTGACGCCTCTGGCTTTGCTGAAGAGCCTCCTACTTTATCAGTGATCACCTCCTACTTAAAAATCTATTGAGAACCCTGAATGCATGAATGCATGTATATGGATATTGTGTAAGTCCTAAAATGTAGGAACTCTTTTTGTGGTTAATTGGAATGCATTATAATGATTTACTGTTCTTTAGGAATCGTGATATAATTGATGAAGAGAACCCCTATGATGCGGTGACCATTGAGGAAGAGGTCAAAATTTATGACGACCTTGTTTCTTATCAGAAAGTTCCGGTAAGGTGTACTACAAGTCATTATTTATTTTTATCATAATGATTTCATCTGGCTTTTTTGATCATTCTCATTTCAGTTTGCAAAAGAAAGAAAGGGTGTAAGTAGTGTTTTAATTTAAATTTGCAAAGTTTACAGAATGTTACAGTTGTTTTTATTCTGCTCTTTTAGAAACCTGAGCGACAATCTTCAGTAGAAGAGAAGAGAAAGTATGTAGTAGCAGAGATCCTTGAGACAGAGAAGAGTTATGTAGAAGCTCTACAAATGATTCAGGAGGTAACACATTGCTAATTTAGCAAACATAATACATTGTACACTGTTACAGAATGTATTTTTATAAAGTTAAATTTCTTCTCCCCCCATTGGCAACCATTACAAGTTACTGCACCTTTCCAGAATACTCAAAGGCAAATTTTATCAGTCAAATAGCTGTAGTGGGAGAAAATGACATTCAGAAATTTTCAGGTAAATCATAAATTTTATTTTTTGTGTGTTAATTTAACATCCAAAAGTCCAAAAGTCTTCATACCAAGCAGTAAAATGAAGGAATTCCAAAGAGTACAGAGTGTTTCATATGAATTGTGCTGACTTTGTCCAGCCACATGCAAAACATTTTTTGCCGAGTGGGTGGAGGCTGGGTTTAATTTGCATTGGTGTACAGGTGCCACTAAACATCCTGTAACCTGACCCCTAACCCTAATTTTAACACCTTCAGTTGCACCTTTTAGCACCTGCACCTTAAAACAACATTGTGTGTGTACATTGTAAACCCGGGTGTGTAACAACTTATTGTGGATGCATGGCTTTTTTCTGAAAAAAAATTTACATATATGCATCACCTCTTAAATGTGTATCACTGAGCCGTTTACTGCCACTTTATTTGTTTTTTACATTTTGATATAATTGTGCTTTTTCTTTACAGCATTTTATAAAAAAATTACAAATATCACCAGATGACAAGACCAGAATCTTTATCAATATAGAGGTATGCTCTTCTTAACACTGCAATGATTTGGTTTTATCAGTTGCATTGATAAGGTAGATTGGCCATTGTTTAGTGGTTTGCCAATATTAAATTATAATCAATTGTTGATCAAAATCTTTAATCAGTGCAATAATCGATTATTGTGTATAAAAAAAATTCTTATTGTCAAATAAACATACCCAGTATGTTAAATTAAAAACTAGTGTCTTGCGTAAATTTAATGTTCTCATAATAAAAGAAGAAAGAGAATTTAATCACCCAAAAGCCAGAAAAATTGTGAGCTTAGTGGTCCACAGTGAAAAAAAAAAAACTCAGAAAGTTTGTATTTATACAATTACTTTGTGTACTTTGATTTGAGTTGAAAAATAAACGGAATTCTTATAAAAAAAATTTGAATTATAATCAATGATCAATCTAGCACTTGGGTCAATTTGATTACATCCAATGATCAATTTATTATGAAATCTCTTGAACCTGATTTCCAACTCTACAGTAGTTACCATTGTTCTAGAGAATTAAGCTGATTCTTCGAGCAGTAGCCCTTCATCAGAGTGGTTTCCCTCTTGGTAATCAGTCTAATTTTCTTATCCACTTTCTTATCCCTCTGACAAGCACTTTATTAAATTTGGTTGTCCAAAACCCAAGAGTTCTTGTCTGAAAAGTTTTGCCAGGTTTCCAAGCCAAATGGAGCTCACCAAAAAAAATGAAATGGCCCCGGCTATATGGCAAAGTTAAAAGGAATTATTATGTACCCTTATTTTGTCAAGTATGAGGTTTGCCTAATTGATGACTATAAGATAAATTTTAATTCTACTGTAATTTGAAGTCAATTTTCACATGTTTCTGTATTTTTTCGTATTAATGATATGCTTGTCCCATGGACAAGTCTTGTCAAAGGTTTACATGTCTGAACTATATTTCTACCAGTCCTGGACAATTATTGGGATGCTATATAAGTATAGTGATTCTTTTTTGGCTGCCATCATCTTAATCAGCATCATGTTCATCATCATCATCATCATTCGTGATATAATAATTTATAATGATAATAATAATAATAATAATAATAATAATAATAATAATATTTATTATTTGGTATTGCACAAATTAACATATATCAAATGATCAAATGTGCATTACAAACTATTAAAGCTAACTAAAAATATAATTATCAAATTAAACGTGAATATATCTGTAAAATCAATGACACCTAACTTAATTATTTAGTACTTAACCTATTACTTACAATAATTATAACTGAAAGAAATGTTATATGTTTCATTAAAATTGATAAAAAAGAGAGTAAAATTAATATACACCTATGTATAATTAAAAATTGTATGCAAGTTTCAAATAATAAGTCTTTAGCTGTTTCTTAAAAGTATAATAGTTGTCCTGAAATATTGAAAATATAATCTTTTCATGCATTTCACAGGATTTGCTGAGAACACACACCAAGTTCGCGAAAAAACTTGAGAAAGGTTGTGCCAATGGAGGAATAGAAATAAGTCCTGTTTTTCTTGAATTTGTAAGTATTGTCACTATCAAACATGTTTTTGAATAAATTAAAAACAAACTTTTGTTATTAGTACCTAGTATACCCGCCCAGTGTCACGCCTAAGGCATGATTGTCACGCCTGGTAGAAAAGTTTGAGCCATTTACAGCATTAACTGACACATTTTGAAAAATATATTAATTATTTAAACAAACCAGAACCGAAGAGAGAAAAGAAAAGAAAAGTCTATGTGGATGATCGACTTTCTCCGAATTCTCTTTTTTTAGTAGGAAGTCAATGTTCCTTTGTGTTCCTGTGTTCGTGTTAGACGGAACTCTTCGTAACATCTTTGGACTTCTTCGGAACGTCTTCGGAAATCTTCGGATATTATCAGACCCCTGCGAAAAATCTTGAAAAATCTTGAAAAATGTCATGCCTATAAATGTAAAAAGGTTGGCAGGTATAACCTAGTGTATATATGTGTACATTTGCAGTTTGCAATTAAGGAATTTTTCCTCTGTAGAGAGATGAACTCCTCAAGTATGGAAAATATTGTACAAAGATGCCGGAAGCTCAAACATATGTAAGTTGGTCTGTATGGTATGGCTGATTGAAACAACATTACCGGTATATTAAACTCCATAACAGAGTGCAAAGCAGGGTTGTCACCACAATCTCAAGTTGCTGGGTAAATACAACAAGTTGGTGGGAAATCATGCAGCTAACGGTTTCTTTTGGTTCTGTTTTTTTCTATTATTATATTCTTTTGAAAGTAGCCAGGGGCCACATTCATAGTAGCTGGGGGAAATCCTCGGTCCCCACCTCTTAATGACATCCCTGGCAAAAAATAACAGTTTTACTTTGCCATTCGGGGAAGCTGTAGCTAGCATGTACTTGCCGGAAGTCATGTCAATTACATGTATCCACAAAAAATTTTGATAAGCATTGATTATAGTTCCTTTGTAACTTGAATTCCCCAATAAACTTCACTTGCATGCCATTTGCCCATTGAGTAAGTTAAGAGCAGAATTCATTAGGCCAATAGCAAAATCCACTCACCCTGGGCTATTGGAAACTACTTCCTTTGCATGCTGCACAAAGAAAATCATTATGTGCAATTTGGTAATTTATACACCATGTACATCTTGATGTTTTAAATTAATCCACATACCATTGTACCCACAGATTGATTATCTTACTAAAACAGATCCAAAATTCAGGGATGCTATAGAGGTATGTTTACGACTGTGCATGTGTTATTCTGTACAGGTTGTTTGTTTATCTTTATTTTTGTAAATTTTTGTTTATGTGTTGTACAGTGATTGTTGTTTCCCTAGACAACTATCTGTCTAGTTTGCTTATGATGGCTGCGTAATCTCCTCATGCTCATTATAACAGACAATTTTGGCATGTTGATTGTTCAGTTAATTTTTTGTTAGTTTTTTTTTAGAGTCAGATTAATATTGTAATATCCTGTGTACGATTTGTATTTTTTCTTTTATTTTAGTTTTGTGTCTCTCTCTGTTTATATTTTTTATTGTATTGAACTTAAGCTTAAATAAAAAAAAAATTGAAAAAATAATATATGACAAACTTTTATTGATGATCTTACTGCACGTTGCATCTAAAACTTTCCATTCTGCAATTATAGTGACATGTACATTGTGTACCATGATAGTTCTACAGACCATAAATTCACTCCTAATGGTCAGTGGCCACAAGAAAAAATTCACACACCACAAAATCAAGATCAAAAATAAAGTTTGTACTTTTGGGCAGGGACAATTTATTAATTTGGTATGAACACTGTCTTGTACTCATGTAGATTGATTACTTCTAACAGGATTGCCAGAGAAGAGCAAACAGCAAGTTTGCCCTGAGATCTCTCCTGGTGGTTCCCTTTCAAAGGGTTTTAAAGTACCCTCTCTTAGTTCAGGTAACTAAAATGATTAAATACTGAACTAATCCCGCTTGGCTGCTTGCAGGGGTCTGGGTGTAAGAAGTAGTTTTAAATTCAATTTTTTCAATGTAAAATAGAGGATTAAAAAGAGTCACCAGTGTAGTAGTGTGATGCTGTACATACAGCTGATTCACTAAAGGTTGCTTCGGGGATTGGGATTGCGCATTGGGAAGCTATTATTTGGTGTTCCCTCAAGTAAATCATTGCAATTTTGTTCCATATGTCGAAATGCCCAGTGCCCTACCAATGACCAATTACCAAAAGTTTTGATTTAGCTGTATTAGATGGCTATTGAGTGTTGGCATACATGAAAAATTCTATAGGTGCCTTGCATACAGTGTGCATTATATAGCTTGTAATTTCAATTTCAGGGGATAGCTGTTAGTGTACATTGCATGTTTTTGTGTGAGAAGGACTTCTTGTTTCTTTGATATTCTGGGTTTTAGGAACTTAACAAGCAAACTAAATCAACACATCCCGACAAGAAAGGTCTTGAAAAAGCTTTAGCAGCAGTACAGGTTAGCTAGTGATCTCCTTCATTTTTTACCCGCCGTCGATGACTATTTGTTAATTTTGCATTAAATAAGCAAAGATATATACCATATATTATTATTTTAAGGAGTTTGCATTTCAAATGTCACAGGTCCTTTTTAATGATTCTAACTTACTTTTTGGTTATTTAAAGGATGTGGCAAAGTTTATCAACCAGTTGAAACGTGATGATGAAAATTTACGATCTGTCCAGGATGTTCAAGAGAGGTTAGGATATCTAAGCGGCTACAAATTAAAACAGCATTGACTTTTTATTGCTAAGACAACTGAGTAGTGTCTGAATTAAAATGGCATTCTTTTTCTTCCCTTCTATGTTCTGCTGATAGCTTAAGCAGTGAAGTGGTAAGTACATATTCTCATTGTTGAAAAATAACTGACAAGGAAATTGCTGAAATTAGTACTCATTTTTGCAACATATTATAGAGAGTGCTGATTGAACAGGCGATGTTAATACTCCGGAAGCTCATAAGAGGTTGAAATGTGTAACTCGTGTTCAATACTCGTGAATATTTTGTTGTAAACCATATTTGGAAACCCTCGCTGCTGCCTGCAAAAAGCAGGTTTAGCAGCAACTTTGCATGTGTGTCACACTTTTTTGTACTTTTCGTTGCTGTCACTGCAAGACTACAATGTGAAACTACCTTATTTCATGTTTTGTGGAAGGTGAAAACACAAGACAACAACTTTCTTTTTCTTTTCTTCAAATTTGCTAACATTTGACAAACTGAATGAGATGAAATAAGTGTGTTAAGTTTGAAGCAGCACAATTCACTTTTTAAACTGAGTTACGCTTTTGTAGATGTCAAGTTGGATCGGAGGGTCAATCTTTTCTTGTCGTTCCAAATATGGTACTTTCGAAAGTGAATATTTATGAGCATCAGAGAAAGCAAACATATGATAGTTACACGTTTCAACCCCTGATGAGTTTGTGATATTACTAAATCAAGCAAGAGCTTACTAATTTCAATCTCTGTGTGTTTGTTTCTGATGCATTTTTTTCTCTTCAGGATATTCAGCTTGTGAACTTTGGCCATCTCATCAAAGATGGTGAGCTTCTTATAAAAGTCAGTGATCAGCCACCAAAGAAAAGGTGAGAGTATAAAGTTAAGATTTTTAAATCCAAATTTAAATCTTCAATTTGTTATCCTTTTCCGTTGTGGGGCTCAGTTCTCTGGGATAATCAAGTAAAGACATCGTACATCAGTAACTCAAATTAAACAAAACAGCGTTTCAAGACGAAATGAGAAACAATAGATGTAGTTGCCATTCTGACTCAGATGCTGCAGCCAAATTTTAGAAGGAGTGTTGTGATGCTTTGTGTGACACCGAATTTTAGCTCAAATGCATATATAGAGAGAATGTATGAGAACCCTGTTAAAATTCAGCATATTGTCTGACTCAGGTTTTTAAATACAGTTTACCCTATAGTGACTAAAAGTATATTGAGGGGGACTTGAAAAGTGATATGTATACTCTGCTGGTTCTGAAATGGTGAAGGGTTAGACAATGTTTTTTTTTTAACTTGTATATCAGATTGATCAATGCTTTTTCTTTCAGGCATGCTTTTCTCTTTGATACAGCCTTAATTATCTGCAAGACAAAGGTAAGCTGTATGGTACTTCGCACCTGCATTTATTGACCAATTGACCCAAACGCACAGAAATGCACCATAAGTGTGCTTGTCTTGATCGTCGCCTTTTTTTATTCTGAGATGTCTGAACATTGCCATTGTGCTTGTTTGCTGCCTCATTACATCAGTGTATCATGCTTAAAAACTCTAATTTTGTTGCGACAGTATATGGGTCTTCACTGTACATAGCCTGTGGGGCAGGAACGCGTGACGAACCCCTAAGAACGTCTGCGTGGGAGGCTTCACTGTACAGTGTACATACAGGAAAGGGCAGTAGTGCAGGCTGGCCCCAGTTGTTCAAAAGGCGGACAGCAGTTATAATGTATCCACTGTGCAAATCACTTTTCCGTGGAAAACTAGTTAGCTTATCTAGCGTAATGGTTATAATGCCTTTTGAGCAACTTGGCCTGAACGATAGAGTCTAGCTAGTAGAACGACTTTGTAGTCTATTCTGTTGTACTTTTGCAAACTGCTTTGCACATTTCTTCTTGACCATCACCTTCTTCAATAAAATTAATTTGTGTACTTCTGTTAAGTTTGATGACAAATGTTGTGATCACTTCTCTCTAGGGTGACACATATCACCACAAGCAATCTTTGCATCTTCAATATTTTGAAATCCAAGACATGCCTCAAAATCCAGTGAAGAATAAGGTGAGTTTCGTGTGATTGTAAGTTTGATTAAGGTGAACTTGAGTGCATCTTAACCCTTAACGGTCAAGGACAACTTTCTTCGCTAACTTGTGCAGAGGGAAGAGATCTTTCAAACCATACCAGAATGAGCACAATTCAGTCAAGGACACCGGAGAAAGAAGCAAAAAACCACGTGACAAGGACCTGAAAATCTCCATGAAAATCTTGTTCCATTACCCACCTACCTTTCCTTTCACCTAATCCTAAGATCCTAAAAGCTTTCCTAAAAACTCTTCCCACCAAAATGAAGCCTACTAAATGCCCAGCAAGAGAAAAAAAAATGAGGCAAGAAAAGCGAAAAAAGAAGGGAGGAGAGAAAGCGAAAAGTAAAAGTCAAGACTGCTGTGTCACTTTTAAACCCAATGTCGAAATTTTGCTTTCTGCGCATGCCCGAACTTCGCAAGCTGATATTTTGCATCTGGATCAGAAGGCCGCCAAGTGTACGACCTGCAAACCGGTTTGTGGTAAGTTTTAGCTCTTTATAGCACGACAGTGACCAGAAAACAACTCGACTAGCTTCAAAACGCGTTTTTCGGCAAAATCTCCAGGAGCGAATGGGTTAAAGTGATAACAAAAATGTGGCAAATTCCTCCCATCTGAGTGTCACAAAAATGCGACATAAGTATATGCATGGAACGGGAAGCCATACATGTACCTCTGCTAAGGGGGCTATTTACGTGATACCGGAATGACTTTCATTCTGGAACGAGTTGATTTCATCTCTGCATTTCTCACCATTTGCTTACATGATACCGAAACAAAATTTTGTTCCCCATTTCAGTCATTTTCCGGTTTTCAATCCGAATGAAATTCTCGCTCTAGTACGAGATTTCATTCTGGTATTACGTAAACTAAAAACGAAATTCGTTCCAGATTGAAAATCGCAAATCGTGTCAAGTCTGGGGCGAGTTGCCCATGCGTATCTGGTCTGGCAAGACCGATAACGCCTTCGGCTAAGACAGTCGATTTTATCTTGTGAATGCAGTGCGAACTTCATTCTGGAACGAAACTCATTCCGCAATGAGAGTAATTCCTGTATCATTATATAAACAAACCCTAAAACGAACGATTTTCATTTCCTCGGCACTTCTTTAGTTAAACTGTTGTACGAGTTTTTCATCAAACTTAGAACCACATTACAAGATATGATTCTCTTAATCAAAATATTTCTTTACTTCAGCGATTCTTTTTAAAATAACGCAGAGTTGTACTTCTTGGCTATACCAATTTTGCGATTAGGACTTGCACTTGCTCTGTCCTCGCGCACGTTTTCCATTCTGTGCTCTTTATCTCCTAGCCTGAGAATGCAGACGTATTTTCCGTCCTCGCTTTCGCAGGCTATTTACATGTGCCTCTATCTCCATTCTCAAGCCCGTTTTTCAAGCGCCGCCTGAAAAGTGGAACTTTTCCAGTTACAAACCTAATGCTTAAGTTGTTATGTTGCAGTTTTCTCACAGTTGGCACATGAAAGGTGACCAAGGTAATGGCCAATGGAAACGGTTATTTTGATTATTTTGTTTATTTTCGTTTAAATAACATTGGCGCGGAGTTGCTCGGTTACCGGTCGTCTCGATGCAAAGTTGTTTCGATACAAAGTCGTTTCGATACTAGTTTATTCTTTCGAGGTGTAAATAGTTCCTAAGATATTCACCCAAAATGTTTTTCTTGTTTACTCGCAAGCTATACTTGAAGTGGACAAAATTTTTGTGCAATTTCACAGCTTGAGTTTGTATCGAAACGACCGGTTTCCAGTTGCTCGAGGCTCAGCACTGCCGTAGCAAGGTTAGATTTATTGGAAGGGGGGTCAATGACGAGGCGCGAGTTGCTACGGGGTCCGGGGTCATGCTCTCCTGTAAGATTTTGAAATGTAGGGTCTCTGAAATAGCATTTTCAACCTTCCGAGAGCATTAATTTCCAGCAATTTCTAATTTTTGAAGCCATAAATAAACAATTTTCACGCTTTATCTTGGTCTCTGGATTTCACGCCGTAGATTCCGGATTCCATGGAACTGGCTTCGGGATTCGGGATTCCTTGTCAATGGAACTTGTATTCCGGATTGCAATCATTAACGTGATTCTGGTTTCCTTTAGCTGGATTCCGGAATCCAAAGCACAGTATTCTGGATTTCACAAGCAAAAATTTCCCAGATTTCGGAATATGGATTCCCTTACATTGACCGATATACTGGCGTTATTGTTTTCTAGAAGCATTAATCAAATTTTCCTTGCTATATGAAATTCAAGAAATTTTATACGTCATATAGTTTATCGGCATAATAAGTCTTTTTCACAAGTATAATAATATTCTTTTTGATCAAAAGGTGGTGCCGGAGGTGACCGTAACTCCTGTTCTATGTCAACTAAAACCCTGGATATGAAGAGCAAATGGATCAATGATTTAACTGTGGCCATGTAAGTAAAGTCAAAGGGCAAAGCCCCTAACACTTGTTTTTTTTTTAAGTATATATGTGTACGTTTTCTTTCTCTTCTTCTACGTCTTCTTCTGGCTCTGCCCTTGCTTGTGGTTTTACGTCGTTTGCCATTAGACGAAGAGTTAAAGGGGGTAGTTTAATGCCCCTCTTACACGGATCCGGACAAATTTTTGAGGGGACAAAAACTTGCACGGATCCTTCTTTAGTTTACACGGTGCCCGCGAAATCGTGCAAGTTGAACAGCAAACAGTACTGCAATCTGTAACAGAATTTGCACGGTTTCGTGAAAAACGGGTTCCACAGTTGTAAAATCTTGTCCGATCAAAAATTTGTCCGGACCGCTGTAAACGGGGTGTAGGAGTCGGGAACTTTAGATTTCCTGCGCTTTCGAAATCGAGAATGATCACGACGTCGGAATTCCGAGCTAATTATATCCCCGAACTCATGCAACTCTTCCCTGTTGCTGACTAACAAATAAAGAAACGTTAGGACGTTTGATGAGTAAGTGCGATGAAAACTAGTGGTGCTCGCGCTTAACCAGCCAAATTAGTATTCCAAACTAAATTTATGACATCTACAAAGTGATGTTACTCTCTTCTTAGCGAATAAATTTGTTCATCTCGGGACGAAAGTTTATAAAGCACAATGTTAAGAAAATACAGTGAGCAGAAGAACGTCTTTTGAGTAGTAAGAAAAAGTTTCTTTGTGGATGTTTTGTTTGTTTGTAAATAGGGCCTCGAACCCTGGCATCGCCTTCCTTTCTTTTGTGTCCTTCTGTTACGTTTATTGTCCTGTATAACTTCACTTTGCAGGGAAAATCTTACATTGAAGGGCATAGACCAAGGTACCTTATCTTGCTTACGTTTACTTAAGATCGCTAACGTTAATTTTCATTTCTTAGGCTCGTTGACATGAATCTTCAAACACTAGAAGAAAAAAAAAAAACGAAAAGACATACCTTTCTTCGGTTGTCCAGGCTTAGTAATACTAGCCTCCCAAGCAGACGTTCTTAGGGGTTCGTGACGTGTTCCTGCCCCAATAAGTAGGGCAGGAACGCGTAACGAACCCCTAAAAACGTCTGCGTGGGAGGCTATAGTAATACTTGCCCCCCCCCTCCCCCCCCTTGTTTTCCTGTGTTACTGCACATTGTGCAACATTGCGCGGGTTTAACGGACTGATCGTGAAGAGTCTACATGAGTGAACCATCACCGACCATGAACGTTGCCTCGATGGGGAACGCTGTTTGCACGTGCCCCTTGCTTTCACCTGCGCACGTGCTCCAAACAGTTTAATTAGCAAAACAAACTTTTTACCCATTCAGTAAGATATTTTTGGGAAATTCTCGAAATTATTAGAGAGATTTTGAGTCACGTTTACGGCAAACAGTAAACGCGATATTCAGGTTGAAAATTTCTCAAAAATGAACAGGTAGAAACTGACCAAATAATTTTTGTGGGTAGAATAAATTAAAGCTGGCAAGTAAAGAGAAAACTTAGTCACGTGGTACAGATTAACGTTTGCCGTTTTGCCGTAAACGTGTTTCTGAATCTCTCTATTATTAACCCTTTAAGTCCCGATAGTGACCAAGATCAATTTTCTCCTAACAATATCCATATGTTACCAAGAGAAATGGTTATGAGAGTGAATAAAATGATCACCTAAGAGAAAATGCTTTGATCTTCTACCAAATTCTCTCAACTTATTCCTTAAGGAAATGTATAAAGACCAGTTTGGAGAATTTGTATGTGGATATTGGGGCTTAAAGGGTTAATATCCAATCTGAAGAAACTCTGTAAATACTTCTTTGCATTTTGAGATGACTCAAGCTTTGTTTGTGTTTTTTGACAGGCAATCATGAATTTCAACTCCACACTTTTACGGTTCCAACGTATTGTGGAGTTTGTCATAACCTGCTGTGGTAAGCTGGCCGGGTTTATACAGGGCTGTAAACTAAGAGGCGAGGACCTGGGGGAATTTTCCCCGGCTACTTTCATAGAAAACAAAAGGAAAATCGAAACAAAAGAATTTCCTAGCTGTACAATTCCCCTCCTAATAACTGCATTTACCCGGAAACTTGATATTTTAGCGAAAGCCCTGTTAAACCCTTGAAAATCACTCACTCTATCGGAGGGCCCCAATAGGGTTATTCAATCCCGTAATCCCGACCAAAAATCTAGTGCAATCCTATAATCCTGATGGTATCCAACCTCCCATACATACATTCAATCCCCAATCTCACTCAGATTGTGTTTAAAATCCAGAATTTTCTTATAACGTAAATCCCGGATCCCGAAAAACGCATTGGGGCCCTCTCTAGTAGTTAGCCAATCGTGTGTTAGCAAGTCACCCTCGGAGACCGAAAAGTCAACTCATTTCAGTGGAAACCAAGTTTACACTAGCCTCCCTCGCAATTCATGTTCCGAATTGAACTTATACTTCATTTTTTTTCTCGTAGGGGTTTAATAAATCAAGGGTACAAGTGTTCAAGTAAGTGTATTCTCTTAATTACGCTTTGCAGTAATTGCATAAGTTTCGTCTCGTCAAAAGTTCAACGTGTTTTCTTCGAGTTACATTTATCGCGTTGTTTTTATTTCCATGAAAGTATAAAGGTCAGTACACGCTAGACAACAAGTTGCAGCAACATTGTTGTGGCGCATGTTGGAGAGACAGCTCGCTTTGTGTGCACTGGAGAATTTTTGTAAAATCTTTGCTCCGCAACAAAAATAATTTTGTCGCAGCAACATGTCGCAAAAAAATCAAATCCGACAGAATTTGTGCGACTTGTTGTGGCGACAAATATTTTCACACAAATTCTCCAGTACACACGAAGCGGATGTCGCTGAGACGGTCGCTACCACTAGCCGACCTACCTATACACTCAGACTGATCTGTTGCTGCAACATATAGCCTAGTAGGTTCCGACCTTAAGCATTCACTCTACCGTTTGTTTTCCCCGGTAACCGCTAAGTGTAGTGCATCTGTCACAGGAAATCCTTCTATTGTGTTTTTTTTTTCGTCGATGAGGGATTCTAAAATCCAAGATAAACATCTCGCTTGTTACCTTGTCACCCCCCTTAGTATCATAAGATTGTGACGCTGTGCTACTGATCCACCGCCCTTCACTATCACGGTTCCATTGTTCCACCACCCTTTACTATCACTGTTTCACTGTTCCACCACCCTGTACTATCACTGTTCCACTGTTCCACCACCCTTTACTATTACTGTTCCACTGTTCCACCACCCTTTACTATTACTGTTCCACTGTTCCACCACCCTTTACTATCACTGTTCCACTGTTCCACCACCCTTTACTATCACTGTTCCACTGTTCCACCACCCTTTACTATTACTGTTCCACTGTTCCACCACCCTTCACTATCACTGTTCCACTGTTCAACTGTTCCACCACCCTTCACTATCACTGTTCCACTGCTCCACTGTTCCACCACCCTTCACTATCACTGTTCCACTGCTCCACCACCCTTTACTATCACTGTTCCACTGTTTACCACCCTTCACTATCACTGTTCCACTGTTCTACCACCCTTCACTATCACTGTTCCACTGTTCTACCACCCTTCAGTATCACTGTTCCACTGTTCCTCCATCCTTTAGTTTACTATCACTGTTCCACTGTTCCATCACCGTTTACTATCACTGTGACTTTGTGCCACTTTTCTATAATTTCATCACCCTTTTGTATAACTGTGTGATTTTATCATGTTACGAAAATTTATGATGTATTATTATGATATTTATGATGTAAGTAAACATTAAGAAATCGGTGATTCCGGTACACCAAACGTAAGCCCAACCTTTTGACGTCTTCACCGTTACGTCCCATGGTATATTAATTTCGGCAATGATACTATCGCGTGGACAAAAACATTATCTGGCGGGAAAATGACATTATCCGGCGGGAAAATTTACTATTTATTTTAATTGACAGTTTGCGATTCCACTGCCCACAAAGATTGCATATCCAAGAGTAGCGCGTGCCGAGCGAGTCCTGGACTCCACAACCAGTTCTCAGGTACTTCGCCGTTTCGCCCTGTGTCTACATTGAGGAATCCCTTTCCTAAACAAACTTCATCGCCCATCGCGCCCACGCTCAGTCCAGATTTGAGCAGAAAGGAAAGGAAGATCTCGTTACCAGCTAGATTGAGAGCAGGTATCTTATTTGTCATGTATTTTTACACAATGTAGTGTTCAAAGTTTACAGGAGGAAGGACCTCTTAACCCTTTCACTGCCAGAGTGCTTGATGGAGTTTTGTAAGGTGATTCTAACTTTTGAGTCTATGGACGAAATCCTATGATGTGACCATTCAAATGAAATTTCTCTGCCTGTGCTTTCACATGATGCCATTTGTTTCTCAAAATTTTAGAAAATGAAATTTGGAACTGTGGTCGAAATTTGTCTCTGGCCTCATTTGGCAGTGAAAGGGTTAATTAAAAAAAGAAATGAAATGAAGTTAAGCTTTTATGTCAAACAATTTAACGTCAGTGGATGTTCCTTTTTTATGCTCCGTGGTCGATTTTCAGTAAATCTATAAATTGTTTACATAATGAATTTCAGTATATCTCTAATAAGAGACAATATTTTCATCTGGGGCGGGAATTTGACATGCGGAAAGTGTGCGAGATGCGGAAAGATCAAAATAACAGAGGCAGCGTGATCGAGCGGTTAGAGTGTTGGAATTGCAATGCTGAGACCCCGACTTCAACTACCTCCCCAACCGCTATCTGGATTTGTTCACGTTACCTCCTGAGTTAAACTCTTTAACCACGCGTGTAAATAGCAAACTGGTTTACTTCCGGCCTTGTTATGTTTATTTGAATTACCGTAAAATTCCGAAAACAAGCCCCGGGGCTTATATTTTTCAAAGGCCCTTTTTGAGGGGCTTATTTTTGGAGGGGCCTTTATTCGGAGGGGCTTATGTACGGAGGGAAATTTGCGTTGTAAAATCGGTTGGGCTAGATTGTAGTGGAAAGAAAATTTACCATTAATTGCTTTGTTTTACTTTGTATTCGAGGGCAAATTCCAAGTACAAGCCCCCCGGGGGGGGCTTATATTCGAAGGGGCGATTTTAACGGAGGGTTTTTTGCGTTACGATTTTGGGGGGCTTATATTTGAAGGGGCTTAGACATGGAGGGGCTTATTTTCGGAATTTTACGGTATTTGTTTTTCACTTGTTTGTTCGGCCCCACGAGCCTTTACGCTTAGTCTATAAATACTGCCCAGGATAATCAAAGGAATTATTGTTTAGAAGTAAATGTCCTGTCCTTTGCTGATTGTTTCTTTCCGTTCTTTTTATTTCCCTCAAAGGAACTGTTGGTCTTTGTGTAGCGACATCAAAGTAAGATTTTGCTTTTATCGTATCTGTTAGCTATAGTAAAATGGTGCTATGTAGTGGTTGAGTTGTGCTTACACAGTTGTTTGTAATCTGCAGCTTTGCTGGCTTAGCTCCTCGTGGCCTCCCTAATTTAACGTTTGTAGCTGGAGATGAAATCGAAGTGGTCAGTAGATCAGATCCCGAGTGGTGGGAGGTAAGCTGAGGGGGCAGACCATCATGTCATAGTATAAGTTTTGCTCTTGTACTGCACTAAAAATATATCCGTTTTCGTATCGTTTATTGAGAACTGGGTCTAATATACAAACGAGGCTCTTTGGTCGTAGCCTCGACTGCAAGCTAGTTCCAGTTCACTATCAAAAAAACGAACATAGTCTTTCAAATGGTCTTTTGTGTGGCTAAGCAATCACTTCGCCTGATCATTCCATGGTCAAATGATACATTCAGCTGATGCGTATGCGCAGTACATACCATTTCTTAGCGAATTTGCATATCACAAGATATGCGCGTTAAGCACATAGTGAGAAACGCATCCTTTGCCGGGCTATGTAAACAAATGTTGTGGAGTCGAAATAATTGCAAGTGCAATCGTGATTAGACCTTAAGCACTAGGTCAAATTAGAGCACTCTTTTTTATATACCATTGAGAATTTACGATGGACTTGGCCAGAGAAAATCAAACGTCGTTGAATACCCCCGAACTCGAAGAATCAGTAGAGGTGAGAAATGAAGCAAAGTCTGAATCGTTGTCGAAGGTTAACTCGGCTTGAACTTTTCTCCAGGCCGTGAAAACTCGATATTCCAAACAAATATAATGATAATTTAATACAATCGAAATATAAAATGACGATATTCACGTTTGGATTCTTGATTCTCTTCTTTAATAGGGACGGTCAAGAAAGACTGGAGCAGTAGGCTACTTCCCTCAAAGTCACGTGGTAGGTGAATACATACCTCACTGAACACGTACAGCGAAAAGACTCTTCCAAGTTTTTTGTTTTTTTCCCAACGTATGATGAAGGCGAGTAAGCAAATATCCATTGACACTGTTGGCAAGAGGGCCTTAAAATTAGTTTAGTTACCAAGTTAAAAGGTGATACGTCCAAAACCAAAGAAGATATTGCTCAGCAAAGTCGCGAAATCTTTCAGACGTTTACAGGATTGTTATGTCCTTACATAAACAGACCTTGCCTGTTAATATTTACAGAAAGGTAATGTCCTGCTTCGTTTCAGACAATGAAACAATCATCATCACGGTATGAAGAAACTCCGATAAGAGAAAGAGATGAGTAAGTATGCTCTGTGTAGTTGAAAAAATGAGGCAGTTGCGTCTTGCTGCCCCGTTTTGGATTTCTTCATAGCGAGAAAAGACTCTCCTAAAAGCATCAGTGTTGTCTTATCTGTTTCCTGGACGTTCTTTATTGTCACTCGAGAAGGAGTTGAAGCAAGAATGTCGGTTGTGACTAGAATGGTTACCTCAAAATCAGGTTGGACGCCTTATGTTTATTACACAACGCTATACTCTATACCACGCTATTCTACATATTTTAATATGCGAATTTATTGGGCACGAGAACTTTCAGAAAAGTGGGGAAATCAGAGTAGGAGACTTGTGCAAGGAAAAGAGTTGCATACACTAGCGCTTAGCACCGATGTACGGTGATTAGGGTTAAGCACTGTTTTAAAAACAGTTATCTTTCAATAATGTAATGATCAATGCCGTGTAAAGTACGTTAAAATGAACCGGTCTCGGCAGTTAGCCCTTGATGGTGTAGTGGATACGGATATGTATTGTACATCAAATGACGCGGGTTCAAGTCCTACATACTACCTCCTGTTTTCTTCTGTTTTCTTTCTTCTTTTATTTACTACTTTAAGATATAAGACTCCCAAAATGTATTTTAAGTGAAGATGACAATCTGACTTTGGGGTATCCATTCTAGTCGCAACCGTTGCCTCGGCAACTTAGGCGAGGACAGCGCTAAATGAAAAGTTCAGCGGGCGCCAAAAAATTCTTTTATTTTCCGGTTTGACTTGTTATTGGTCAGGAAAATGGCGCGAGTTTTTGTTTACGCTGACGACAAGTTGTAGCAGTGCAATACTAATAGATGTCGAGACAAATAGTTTCTTTAATAGGTTTGTTTTCACTTTTGTATTTATACTAAACAAAGGATTGTTTATAACCTGCAGGCCTTACCATACGTAGTAAGTTGGAGTTCAATAAATCGAGGGTGTGTGTTAAAAATGAAGAATTGTGTCTTGTCTCTCTTTTTCTTTCATAGAATTAATACGTCTCCTCCACCGGCAAATTTGAAAGCCTCGTTAACAGGTTTCAATTGGTAAGTAATGTAATTTTCATCTTTTAATGACTGGCTGCGTTGATGGTTCTTTTGAAAGAGATTTTCCATTTTCCTGGCTTCTTTGACAGGGACATGAAATGGTGTTGCGATGACGCCGAAAGTCAACTTTTCACGCTTTTATTAACAGGTTTCTGTTTCACTAAATCACTGTTCAACTTTGATAGGTTCGCTGGAAAAATGGACAGACCGCAAGCGGAAGCAGAACTGCGCAACAGAAGCGACGGTACCTTCCTTATAAGGGAGAGTGTGAACAGAAGCGGAGAATACGCGCTATCCGTGAAGTAAGAACAAAGAATTGTCTTTTGATGGTTTGCTTACACGTTGCTCCTTTTTAATATCTGTTGTAAATGGCAAACTGAAGGCTTTTTTAGTATAATTGTTAGACGAATGAAAGAATGCATATTGAGTTTTCCAGTGAAGTTTTCATTTCCGTCGTCGTTGTCGGATCATAAGGTCTCTATTACTTGCCTTTAAACACCTTATTGCGTGGGTTGTCTGTCAATTACTGTGGCCAATCAGAAGAGGGCCCAGCACTAGCATGAACCAATCACGCGTTGAAGCAAGAACATGAGGGCCGGTGGCAAGCGCGAGAAACGCGCGAAAGAAAATTACAGTTGGTTTTGATTGGCTGCGAAAGTGGCGTGATATCTTTGAGCCAATCACAAACCCAAACAGTGCAAAGTAAAGATATTCTAGGGGACACTCTAAACCACGTTCTGATCAGTTACCGCTTGATTTCTTTTGATAGATTTCGAAATAACGTAAAACACATAAAAATCCCGTATGATGACGGATGTTTCTACTTGACAAGAGCGATCGCCTTTGGATCTGTTAAGGTAAGTAGCATTTTTCCTCTGGTAGATTTAGAGCTGTGTTCTTGGAGGCTACATTTCTCGTCAAACATGAACGAAGAGCTATGAAATTTTCACGGTTTAACTTCTTCGCCCACCTTAACTTTCTTTTCATTATTCCCTTACCTAGTGAATATCTAAATGAACTGTGGTAGGAGATAACATGACACGCGTTGCAACAGTTTTGACGAGCATTGTAGTTACCGGCCATTGACAGAAAAAGTTTTCAGGGTCGCACGTGTGTCTTGCTACCAGTCTATCGTTTCCTGACTGTTTGACAACCAGCGGGTACTCCCGTGGGTTCTACGTGACGTGTATGATCTAATGGACCTGGGGTTTGTTTGTCTTTACGTAACCATTGTTCAACAAGGGTTACCTTAAACAGCTAGCCCCGGTTGGTCAAAAGATGGGTAGCGCTATCATACAGATACTATCCAGTAGAAAAGTGTTTGTGTTAGGAAAACCAATTGCACTATCCAATGGATAGTGACTTATCTGGCAGATAGCGCTTCCATCTTCTGAGCAAATGGCGCCAATAGGATATAAAATTGAAACTTATTTTCAATCTAGTTTCGATGTTCATTTTTTGTTTGTTTGTTTGTTTTGTCACCAGGAACTTGTTGAATATTATAAGCAAAACACTCTGGGCGTTAGTTTTCCAGGCCTGGACACAAAACTTCGGCGTGGAGTGAACGAAGAGCATAAAGGAAAAGGTACGGACTTTTAAAGCCCCTTGAAAATTGGAATAAATAATTTGAAGCAGTAACTCCAAAATATGTTCAGGTATGGTGAAATGGGCAAGATTTCTGCAGAGTTAACGTTCAGTTCGGTGAACATTCCTTCTGCAATGTAAACACTATTTTAGCCTTTTTCCAGGAGTTGAGGCAGTAGATAACACGCTTCCCACCACCTGAACGCTTCTCTTTACTATCTGAACGCCTGCAACAGGCTAACACTATCTTTGATGTGGTAAAAGCAATGTTACGTGGGTGATGAAAGCGCCAATGAAAAGCCATGAAAGCAGCCAATGCAATCAATCTTTCTCGATTGCTTCCGTATGTAAAAACAAGTTTAGTCAAGCAAAATGTCTAGATTTAGCTTCCTCAAGTTTAGCGTCATCATTTTTTAAGTTGCACGACGGATATGCTCGAATATCTCCTCGGTCGTAGTGTTTTTGCATCTCAACCCACTTTTTTTAGTAGCGAATAAAATTTCGGTAAAAAGAAATCCAATTTTATGTAGACTTTTACTTTGCATGTATTTGCATATATTTGAATCCTCAGATAGGTTTTCGAAAAGCACCATACTCGTCGTATAGGAGAAAATCTTCTTTATTTTATGTTGCTCTGAATCTTATTTAAGAAAATGTTATATTTTTAGCTTATTTACTTGTAGGCGTTGGTTGGGCCAAAGCCATGTATCCCTACAGTGCAAGAAACGCTAAAGAGATATCAATTCAGGTAGCGATAATTTCCAGTATTGACCGCTCCAGAAAATACCATAACATACCATAATGCTCTTTGTTTGTCACCCCAGGTTCTGTAAAAGCATTGTTTTCAGTTTCTCTTGGGGCCATTTGAACTCCCAAGAGAAACTTAAGACAATGCTTATGCAAAATTTTGGAGTGACCACAAAGAGCATTATGGTATGTTATGGTATTTCTGGAGCGGTCAATTTTCTGTTTCATCCTACTTTAAAACTGTCAGTTCTGAAATTAAACTGCGTGGTTTCGTCCACTTAACCAAAGTTTGAAACGTCTTTTTAATTTAGTTGCCATCCCTTAGAATTTCTTCCACATAAAGCAATGGGGATTTTGACCTCGGATAAATCGACTTTTAAGTATTTCTGTGTTTCAGTTTTGAATTTACCCCATTTTGCCCGCCCAAATTTTACGGTTTCTGGGGCATCTTTGCTCGTATTCAGTAACTGACAAAGACTATTTCGTCATTACAATGATGAATGCGAATTTTAATGGTATGCACTTCAGGTAAGACTTCATACAATGTCCTAAGATATTCCTGTGACTGTCACAATTTGGGGGCTGGGTCGATTTGTGGGGGTTTATTGACATTCAGGGGAGGGGGGAGGAGGGATCGTGCAAGAGATAAAGTCTCCAGATTTTAGATCTCTAGAGGTTTGCATCTCTGTCACAGTGGCTGTTCGTTTTGTGTCCATTTGAGTTTAATTGGATAGAATTTATGTGTCACCAGTGGATTGTAAACCAGCATTGATTCTAATAGTCGGGACACACCTTAGTTTAGAGATTTCTCTGTACATGAGTGGAGATTCTGTTTATAGCCACTAAACCATGTCTCTCTTTGTCCTTTAGAGAAATTCTAGAATTCTTATACTCAATAAAGAAGGTGATTGGTGGAAAGGAGAATGTGACGGCCAGGTGAGTTATTAGTTTTTAAAGACTCCACTGTGCCTTACGCCACTCTTGGTTTACACTATCAGTGTGAGGGAAAACGCAGTCTTTAACCGGCATGCAAATAAAAGAATCTGGTCATTATTACGCAAAGTCTTAAGTTTGCTTGATAAAATCTCGGTGGATACACGTTGCGTTTGACCGCTGTGAATTTACTAACCATCATCGAAGAGGAAATTTGTTGAACTGTATGCTCATCTCCCAATGTTGCCCGGCTCGGAGCCGGTTACAGTTATGTTGAGATTGTAAATGGCGTTCGTCCTTGTTCTGGGATCTTTTCTTCGGATTCTTTCTTCTCCCCAATGCTTTGCAGTCGTGTGTTTATGCCCGTTAAGTGTCATCCATGCTAAGCAAAGTTGATTGATTGATTGATTGATTCGTTGACTGACTGACTGACTGACCGATTGATTGATTGATTGATTGATAGACTGATTCACGGAGTGATTGATTTGATTTATACAGGTTGGCTACTTTCCTTCGAATTACGTAGAGGTCCTCAAAGAAAACATGGAAGCTAAGAACTAAAACATTGTTAGGTGAAATTCATTCATGGAGTTGAACCGACCTTCCAGCCACCGTAGTCAAATGTGAAATACCAAGTTGAATCTTTGAGGATCAAAGCTCCACGTCAAGGAATATGATAAGCCAAAAATGGTCGCCAGAGCGCAAATGTTTTAATCCAATGAACGTTGGAATGAAATTGTACGCTCATGCAGATATACTTACATAGAAATCCATAAAGGACAATGGTCGACGTTAAGCTGCTATTATGAGCAAGTGCCAAGTCGAGGATATCATAGGACAATATTTTAATTATAACGTGCAGGAATGAATGTTACCTGCCTGGCAAGTTCATGTCATAGAACAGTGTTTTCATGAATAGAAGTTTGCCTTTTTCAGTGAGCTTAAAAGGCATTTACCCGCAAATTATATTGCGAGGAATGATTGTGTTATTTATAATTTTCGGATAAAATACGTAGATAGGCTACACATATCCTTACATGAATATCGTACAGTCCTGAAGATATGCTGCGCCTTATAATTCTTGGTATGCAACCATGTGACAAGGCACCCATGTTGGGGTTCAATAGAACAGAATTTTTTCTCGAAGAATTTACATGAAAATAGAATTCAGTTCTCAGAGGAGAGAAATCCTTTTGTTCTTCACCGCCAACAAGGCCGCCGTGACGTCACGTGCAAACCAGCAATACACATGGGAATTCTTTTTATGGGGGTGTGGGTTGGGGAAGGGGGAGTCGTATTGAGCCCAGTCTCTTTAGTTTTACAACTGCGTCGATCTAAGCGAAGTACCATCGCAGTTCACTCATGCCCAGTCCGTTTTAAACCAAGGTGAACAAGGGCGACTGGGCCCGAGAATTTTCTTGCTGTTGTTTTATTTAAAAACAATATCCAAGAAATATTCAAACGCATCCTTATGCTTGTAGTTTACTGATGCGATCGTACAAATTAAACCAGACATTATATGCTTTAATCCCTCCACAAAATTAGGGAAAGTAATCCCGATATTTAATTTTATCCCCCTATTTTTCCAACAAAATGAGAGCTGTCTATTCGCCAAACTTCGACTGAAGGAGTGAGACGCAAGTCGTTTACCATTGACAAAAAGTTCCCGGAAAATCCGGTTGTAAAGTAAACTGATCATTACGTTCTGAGTCTTTCCAATCGGAACGTCCAAAAATGGTAGCTTTGCCGTGGACAGAATTCCATGCCAAACGACATTCGTGTTTCATTTTCTCTAACTGATCTTTGATATCAGGATCAGGTTTTCGCTGCCGTTTTCGGTGAATGGAACTCGACTGAGCAAATGGCAATGGTTAACGCGATATTGATAGTCCTGGATGCTACTATGTTCTAGTATTTCTTACTTTTTCTTTTGTACAGTTCCCTGCTGTAATATACCTAGACGATGATCTTGTGTACAAATGAACTCATTCGTCAGATTTCTTTAGCTTTTGCGTAATGAATTTGTAATGCGAGCGAAATGCTAATAAAACAATTCAAATGGGATGAGTTGAGACTGTAATTCGTCTAAGGCCCCATTAAGCGCTTCATACTTAAATGCTTTGTACTTAAGTCAACAGAGATATTTACAAACAAGGTTAACAAAGTATCTTTATGTTATATCTAAACTACCTGGTGCATGATGGAACTTGTCCAGCGGAACGGCTAGCTGGGAACGAGATTGCGCACCCATCGTCACGTATTGTTACTGCGCGTTCGTGGCGCGCGCAAGATTCGGTAGGCATTTAGTGGGTGGGAAGGTGGTAAGTGAAACGCTGATATTTGCAAATAAAACTTCGACGTTTCGGCAATGCTGCCTTCATCAGGGAAAACCATTTAGTAGGCACAGCAATGGAATCCAAACTAAAACTGTTACACAACGTATCGAAATTAAGGCCCTGGATTGACTTTTCAGAAACGAAGCGATCATTGCTTTAAAAAATAAACGCTAAAAAAGGCACCGGTACTCTGTGATCAAATCTTTGGTCATTCGATCATACATGGAATACGAACCCCGTTAATCGATATTGCGACCAACGACCACCTTTAAACTTTATAAAATTGTTTTGCTTGGTTTGCTGAATGAAAACAGACAATCTGAAAACAATAACCCATTACTAAAATTGAATGTTTTTAGGCAAAGGTGTTGGTGGTTAGCATGACATCCGGTAAATTGTTGTGTGCAGTAAAAATTATGCATGAATAAATAATACAAAAGATCTGAAAGACTTCACTTTGCAGCATTTCGAGGCTCTCAAAGTTATTTTGCCTTCTTGTTTCTGCTGCCTTCTACTGTGGCTTTTCTCTTCAAGTCCATTTCCTTTTCTTTTCTCCCAGAACTTTGAACTTTGTAATAATTGTGAAAGTGTTGTAAGCTACAATATAGAAAACGGCTCTTCCAGACAAATCACAAGCCCTTTCCTTTCATAACAAGGAACTGAAGGAAGTCAGCGTTTTTTCTCATTACTCGGTTTCGTTTACTCTTACATTGTTCAGTTGCATTGAATTGCTTATCGTCACCTGTCGTCATAGAAGATAACAACTGCATGCGCGCGCATCGAATTCGTTCGGAGACGCGATCCATTTTCGACCCCAGAGCTCCTCTCTAAACAGCGGGGTCCAAAGCGTGAGCTCTGGGGTCGAGAATGTGGCGCGCTCTCGAATCCAGATACTACGAAATGCAACTATTGTAGCGGTCAACATGTTACTGATCGTGCTGTACAGTGAGTGAAGGAAAAACTTGTTCTTATCTTGGATGGATATATCTCGGGGTTGACAACCTTATATACAAAACGACGCTAGGATAAATAATGTCTTTGTTACGTATATCATGACCTCTTCCTTCCGTAACGCGACACCATGACTTAATGTATCCTCCATCAATGTACTTGAAAAAGGACACATCCCTATGGGCCGACTATTGGAGTTGAGACCAGTAGAATCATGACCTGGGGTACCGGCTACAACTATAAACATGTTCCGCTTGGTCCATTTAAGGGTATAAATAAGAGGTTTCTACCCGATTAACTTTATCCAGGAGGTCTTGTAAAATGTCTTAATATCTTCCCAAATATAATGTAGACTCGGAAGATTAGAATAGTCATAAAAACTTCATCTTTTCTTTTTGGGGGTGGAGTTCTTTTAACATTATGAGATATGGAACACCAACACACATTGTGGAAAATATATTTCACAAAAGTATAAATCTACTTCATACACTTAATTAAGGCGACGTGAAAGAGATTTCTTTGCGATTTTTTTTAAACAAAGACGGTCGAAATGGGAGCCGTTTTATCCAAGGGGGTTAAAATGAAAAGGTAGCGTTTGCTTAACAACATACAGCAGTCTACATTAGCCAAATAATATAATTGAATGAGTTGAGGTTGAATTGTCATTTACTATAAGGAAAGCAACGTTGGGATAAACGTCCCAACAGTCACGTAATACAAAGTTATGTAAATTTATAAAACGTTCCCTTTGTACAAAAGTTCCACTTGTAGCTCTATAAAACTATAAAAAAAGCATTTTAAAAATTACACAAAAATACCTTTCAAAAATTTCAAAAATACCTTTCAATGGACAATTGAATACGTACCATATTCTGCTTTTTGCTGTTTATACATGTACCATTTCACGAATCCGGAGATTGTCTGTATAGATAACTTCCTTCAACCTTTTCTTTGAAGGTGTTTTCCTCTTTTTTTCGTAAGTTTAAGATAAAATATGTGTCGAGCACCCTATTGGCTAACTATTAAAATACCACGACCACGACGGCAGAAAAAAAACGTCACTTATATAGTAAATTCCTTTTCAAACTTCATCACGGTTACCGGCATTCCAACTCGCTAAGCTAATCCTCTTGTGAAAGAATTTCTAAGAACGGCACCCTAAAATTCAGAAAGCTTAAGAAACCTTTCCTCCTCGTGTTTACGTCCTCCACGTAGTAGTCATGCAGCGACGGTCTTGCTCTTTTGACGTTCGCGTTGCCATCGATGTCGTGTCAAGTTTAAAACTACTTTTTTAATAAAATGATGTAGGCCCTGCATGCACGAGACCAACAATACGTCCTTGGCCGGTGAAAAGGAGGTTACTTGAGAATCTTGAAGATGAGGCAATTACACGAGCCACTTACAAAGCAGAAAGCGAGAGTTACGGAACTTTAAAACAACTCAACATTCATTCTTCGAACGAAATGCCCCTTTTGTTAAGACCACTGAAGACAAAAGAGTTTGACGCCGGACCCGTTTCCTGGTTTCCTCTGAACAGAAGCAAACACTGTGAAATTATTTGCTCAGCCCGGTTTTATGGACAGCTCTAAGTTGGTCTCATGTAATCAGGGCACTTTAGATAGGTTCTTTACAAATTCATTTTTATAGTTCAGTTGTCTGCTCGGCTTTCGGTTCTTCCGTTTCCCCTTCTGGCTCTGCCGGTTTTTCTCCGCCTTCGCTCGACTTCTCTTCGGCTTTTGGTTCCTCGCTCGGTTTCTGTTCAGGTTCTTTCTCTGTTTCTTCGGCTTCGGGTTCACTCGGTTTCTGTTCGGATTCTTTCGCTGTTTCTTCGGCTTCGGGTTCACTCGGTTTCTGTTCGGATTCTTTCGCTGTTTCTTCGGCTTTAGGTTCGCTCGGTTTCTGTTCGGATTCTTTCGCTGTTTCTTCGGCTTTGGGTTCCTCAGACTTTGCCGGTTCTGTAGTGGGTTCCTTCTTAGCTTCAGCTTGGGTCGCCGAGGCTCTTCCGACACCACAAACTGCCAAAAGGGAAGAACGGAAATTTAGAACCAAAACACGAAAGACAGGTTCAACGATTTTTTTGGAGGGAGGCAAACTAAAAATTTGGCGAAAAAGACCCTTCATCCTGATCCCCTTGGACAAGCAAAATTTCAGCTAATCGGATAATGTTTGTTCCAAATAAATTCAATTAATTCCAATTCTTTTACGAATTCTTTTGGGCATTCAATGTCACCGTACTCACACTTACTTATGATGCTGAGTGAGCCACCATAGTTCCCATTCGGTACAAACCCTCAAATAGAGACAAGACAAGAGGGAGTTGATTTAAAAGTTTAAACCACGTTATATGAATGTGGTTGATACAAGGGTTGTACTGAAATTCATTCACTGTTTGGCCTTCTAAAAAATAGTCCATTTCTGGCCCTTCTCTCTCTCTCTCTCTCTCTCTCTCTGTCACACAACGCCGGAAGAGGGAGGCCGGCGTTGCGTGACAGAGAGAGAAGGGCCAGATCTGGACTGTCTAAACAACAAAAAAGTGGATGGATTTTTTGGGCATTAAAATTAACGTGACTTTCCGTTAGAAACGTGTTTTGTTCGGCCGTGTGAGCAGGACTGGAAATGAAAATTCTGAGAAAGGAACGCCCAGGCCCCACACATAGCAGCAGCTCACCTTTCTTGATTGTGTCCCGGATGCTGGTCTCGACATATGTGTCATACTTGTCACTGAGTGAGATAGCCTGACGGAGGGGGTCTGGGATACTCTGTTCCACAGGTTTGATCATCTGTAACAAGTTTAACGAAAAAGACAATAAATTCATCGGATGTTTGAGGATCAGAGTAGTGCTGTTGAGAAAATTTATAGCATGGAAGTAGGCGAGAAGGAAGAGTGTTGGGAGGAAGAGAGAGAGAGAGAGAGAAAATAGTGTCCGTCTTCCCAGCGCTATAAACCCCGACGCCCGACGCCCGACGCCCGACGCCCGACGCCCGACGCCCGACGCCCGACGCCCGACGCCCGACGCCCGACGCTCGACGCCCAACCCCTCGGTGAATTTGAAACCACTATGCCGGCAAGTTGCAGTAAGGGCTAAATCTCGTAGATCTGTACAGTTGGAGTCAGGGAGAGTCTAAAAAGTTGGAGTCAGCCGTCTATGACGATAAGGACGTGCACTGCAACGCAACGACGTCAATAAACACAGATGGGTTAGAGAGGTACTTGATACCATTGAAGGTTCATTCACAAGTCTTCAGTAAGAAATTGAAGTATAGGACGTCGTGTAGCGCTTTTTCCCATTATTTCATTTTCCCATTTTTTCTTTTCCCTTTTTTCATCTTACGAAGAACGTATACTACAACTTGAGGATGTGAATAAAAACCCTTAGAGTTAGAGAAGGTTCAATTAAAAGCCGTCAGTAACAAATAAAGTGAAATGTTACCGGTTTGCAGATTTCATCAGCGAGACTGTGCGTGTGAGGTACGAGCATACTCATCATTGCGCTCATCAGATATTCGTCTAAAGCGACTTTCTGATCTACATCAAATTTCTGTTGATCAAAGCATACGGTAACAATGACATGAACACAAGCACACAAACATTATGGAGCAGAATAGTAAGGTGGCGAAACGAGCAGTGTAACGGGGAAAACTAGTACGTTCAAATTCCAGCTGAAAAGACTGTATTCCTTTCTTACAAACCCGTTTCATGCTTGTACATGATGATGTATAGTTTATAAGACTACGAAGGTAGCTGTAGCGGAATACATCACACACAGGAAGGGAAATATTGAGGGGGCGGGGGGGGTGAAAGGAGTAATTCCCTAAAAATCTGTCCTTTTGAGTCGTCACGCTTTGCTCGCGTGTCGTGACACGTAGAACGGCTGCATGAGAGTCCATGAAAGAAATGAAAAGGAAAGTGAACAAAACTTTATGAGGAAATTCCCTAATTGCTAGACCCAGCTTCGCACTAACCCGTGAACAGCCTCTGCCCCCTTCTCTTTATACTATGCTCCCTAGGGAACAGGGGTTAGCTTTACCCCTTCCTAGTATTTATAGCCTGCATGCTAGGCCTTGTAATCCCCCTCCCCTTCCCCTTCGAACGCTACCCACACATGCAGGCTACAGTATCCATTGGCACCCTAATTCTAGGCCATGCCTTTTTTGTCATTCTTGCTGTACACATATGCGTTCTTACCAACAAAACTTCTTCTTTGACTACTTTCATGACATCCGCTGCAGTTTGGCCGTTTGTTTTAGCATCGGTGCCAGTGATTCCTTCATTAAAACGCTCCTCAAAAGTAAACATCGCTGAATCCAGAAGCTGAAAGAGGAAAGCAACACAGCAATAAAAATGGCTACATAACCTATGTAGGGTTATAAACGTTATTTTGGCGCGCAACATGGCAAAACTTATACATTGTATGAAATGCGCACACAGTAAATAGCATCAATTCGTGCAACGTTTTTCAACAACTACATGTAATTGTAATTATAGCAGACTTGGGTTTGAGTTAGCTTCATCAAGAAGGAGTAAAATTAAAATTAAGAGTCGAAAATGCATACTATCGGGAAAAAAGTATTGACGTATTTGAAAAGATTCTTACAGGTTCTCTCCTTCTTTCTTCCCGCCGTTTTTCGCTTGTTCGCTATTTCACTGCTCGTTCGCTTTTTTCGCTCGTCCACACTGACCCAGAGCCTGGCACAGGCTAATCTAAGACACTCACCTGAGCGAGTGCATCGCTTCCAATGTCTCTCACTATATGGCCATTCAGCTTGTTAATGCGGTCATCAAATTTACGCAAATCACTAGCACTGGCAACGCACTTGACAGCATCATACAGTTTCGAAGCCGAACGAGGAGCATAGTCCAAAGTTTTAAAGAACTAAAAGAAAAATAAATTCATAGTGTTCGTATTAGTGTCCGTGTTAAGCGGGTATATTTAAGAGAGAATATATAGGCTTTTCGTCGGGACAAACGAAACTGTCCGTTATACGCGGGTGTCCGTATTTTAAAAGAGAGTGTCGATAGAGAGGATTCGACTGTAGCTATATTAGTTCATTTCTTTGTTCAATTTGATGACATAATATGACAAAAAAGGGACAAAAATAATTGCAGTGTACAAGTATTGAGCATCTAACGTATGTCTGACATTTGTCTTTATTACTGTGGAAATTAAAAGCATGCACCAAGATATGAAGTAGGTCAAGATAAAGGCGCACACGAGCCAAAGGCCCAAACAGTTGAAGCTTATCCCGGTTTCCTTAGCATGAAGCATGCCTAAGAGTATTGCTACCCACCCCCCCCCCCCCCCTGGACAGGATGCGTGTCCATCGCAGGGTTACCCCCCACCAGTATGTCGCAGGTACCCATTTATACACCTGGATGAAGAGAGACAAAGTAGATAAAGTTCCTTTTCTAAGGAAACAACGCGACGGGCGAGGCTGGAACCCCGGATAAAAGATACGAATTAGCGTAAGAGCATATTAAATTCATACCGAAGGTAAAGATGCTTCGACTTCATTTGTGTTCTTAGCTTCCTCAATGACTTTGTCAACTGTCTTGATGAAGATTTTTCTTAACTCTGTCAAGCCCTGCTCCATCTGCCACAAATCAAAGAAAAAAAGATGATGAAAGCTTTCCCTTACATCATTTTTAAACCAAAAAAAACTCTGGTTGAAAATACTGAATAGAAATGGTAGTAATCTTGGGACATCTGCGGTACCCTTGTATTTTAACCCTGACCAACATCAATTGACCAACATCAACATTCATCAATCATCAACATTCATCATCAACATTCATTTGACCAACATCAATTTTCTTCTAAAAATATCCATAGATTGTCAAGTGCAACATCTATGAGAATTAATCAAATGATCACAAAGAGAAAAATCCCTGATCTTTTATCAATTTCTCCCAACTAATTCTGTAAGGAAATGTATAGACATCAGTTTGGAGAATTTGTTTGTGGATATTGGGGCTTAAAGGGTTAACTGCAACTGGAAGAAAAAAGAAGGCCACTCTACCTTGGGTTTAAGAAGTTCGACAATCTCTTTCATTGTGTCTTCCATGTCGGTTAAGTACTTTTCCATCGTGCTTTTCAACAGTTCTAAGAAAAAAGTAGGATCAACATTTTAAAAAATCAGATACGAACATGTGGACGCGTAGTCTCTGCAATGCAAGGTTTTTAAAATTACCTCAACTGCTGTTAATATTACATCAAGTACACTGGTTTCTAATCACAGTGAAAAATAAACAATGATTAAAAACACCTTGGGGGCAGAAGACACTTTCTTCAAAGGAAAACTATAATCACCTTTTTCAGAGATCCAGCCTAACAACTACCCCTTTTAAGTTGTCAGTGTGGCTTCAACAAAAATTTGAATTGTCTTCTTCCGATCTTCTTCAAATGGACCAAGAAAAACCGTCCCAATTGTAGTTACAGCGGACGTGTAATTCACCGCGTGACCCTCTAGAACAACTAAAAAGGGCCGCTTATAAATAGTCTATATCATTGCTTACCTGATAAATCCCACATGACTTTGCGCTGTACTGCTGCCAGTTCATCTTTCTTGTCTTTGATTGTTGGTTCCAGAACAGTTTTCATCTGTTGTGAAGATTCCTGCATCCCTTTCCAGGATGGTATCACCATGGCCATCACAAGAGAATCAAGTGTCTTGACAACCTACATGAGTCAATAATACACAAGTAACTCTTATACACATGCACACATTAACGGAAGATTCTACAAATTGAGGAATCCATTGTAATCCATAAGTTTACTGCAGTACATGTATGTGATCTTTTTTTGTCAAAAAATAGAATAAAATAGCTTACTTGTTCTCTGATCTTTTGCCTCAATGTCCAGCCTCCTTTAATTTCATAGTACACAGAAGTCATCACGCGGTAATTGATTCTGTCAACAAGGATGTCACTTAGAACCTGAAGAGAATACATCTCACATCATGTCATATTGCTTACAGGTTCCAATTTCCCAAGACAAAAATACATTGTAATCAATACCATTAGATTTTGGCCAATTCCATCACAATTATATTTTTGGGCCATCCTATAATCCAAATCATTGAAAAATAACAGGGACCTAACTTTGCTATAAAATCTTGTTTAAAGAGAAATAATGGAACGAGGAACTTGTTGGCTTTCAGATGAATTAATCTTGTGAAGAATCTGGCAATTGTCTGATGCTTGAGGCCCTGATTCATGCTTAGTTTGCATAAAGACTAATATTTACTAGTGTTTTATTCATTAATCTTCAATTTATTACTGTTACATAATAAGTTAAAGTCCCTAGTTGGTGGGCATCTTTCAGTAGTTACGACTCATTAATAAACATGTTCATTGTTTGACCATACAGTGTAGGTAAACTCCTGTCAAAACATGGCAAGGGGAAATAGTTTGGAGTCAAAGATTAATGTGGCAGCCTAAATTGCATATACTAGGTGCAAATCACAGAGCTGATGCTCTATATAAGGGCTGACTTTGTTCAACTTGTTTGCCCTTGCCACTGCTTCAAGAAGTTTTCCTCTGGCTAAGGGCTTTCATCCACTCAAAGCCCAGCATACTGTAGATGGTAGAAACATAAAGTGGATAGGATATACCTAAAAAAATTAAATCATTGTCTATCTGTTTTCATCGCTTAAAAATATTTATAGCCATATTTTTTTACCAACCTGCTCTTCAGTGCCAGTAACCCTGTGTCTCCAGTATGTTTTCCAGATAGCAGTCTTGAAAGCTGCACGACCAACTGGGTCTTCACTCTTCAGTCCTGTAACAAAACAAGTTATAATACAATCAAATCCTCCTTTCGGACAATATCCACTTAATAAGGGCACCTCACTATTAAGGAACGTTTGTTTTGTCCCCGGGGAAAGAAAGCCCTTTCATTTTCTCTGAATCAAACGCGCTTTATATGGACACCATGTATAATAATTCCAACAATTTGCTTTGTCCTTGGGAAAAGAAAGCCCTCAGATATGGTCCTTTCGGATTTAATCCAGATAATTTCGCCAACATTAATTTTGACAAATTAAATGAAAATGAATAAGATCGATGAAGTTTGAAACAGTGTGAATTTACTTTTATAGTGAATTTTCAGTTTGTTGTCATCTAAAAATTTTGCTACCACGGCAATGTGACGTAATGACTTCTCCTCTCTATTAATGAGGCCCTCTTGGGGTGGGTATGCATGTCTGTATTCAGAATTTCAAAACCTGTCACTTCACAAACTGTCTTGAGGAAGAATTAGCCATGTAACTGTCTGCATGTTTCTATTGCTTCTGCTTTTGTCTTTGTCGCTGTTGCAGCTTTAACCCACCTTTGTGTTGTTTGTTGCCATATATTTTAATTTGTCTTACGTTGTCATTTCAAAGTCATGTCATTTGTTGGAATTTTACCCTTACAGGGCTTCATCAATGTGGACACTATGGGCACTTATTTCTTATGTACATGTTATTATCAGACTCTAAGTTAAGTTTAGACAACTTGTTTACTTTACTCATTTACTCTACTATCAACACTGACTTTTGTGTAACACCATTAAGATGACTTTTCACTGTTTGTGTAATTGTAACAATAGATCTACCATATTTACTCAAATAAGTGTCACCCTTGAGTAAGCACTGCATTTGGAACCAAAAAATAATAATGTTAAGTGCTGTGGGCCTGATAATCGAAGCCAAAAGATGCCAATTCTGTTAGTTTAATATGAAAAATGATAATAACATTGGTAGTTAAAACGATGCTTTGTAGCATCCAACTTTCGATCATTAAACAACGCCCCAGAATAAGACTAGTGTCACATTTGAAGAGTGAAAAATTTAATAAACGCTGTGGTACTTATTAGAGTAAATACAGTATACCTTACCTTTCGCTTTTCTGCAGCAAACTTTAAAAGTTTCCACCCAGGCTTGTTTGTCTTCTTCATTTTCAGCTGTGATGAGATAAGACCTTCTCCTATCATGTCCCACCTCAAAAGTGTGTTCTGGTAACTTCTCTGGAGCTCCTACTTCGTTTTCATCCACTCCTAACAAAATAAAAATCAAAAATCTATAATTGAAGTGATACTATACGTGTGCTCAGTCACGAGACTGTTTGTAACACAAAGAAATTACAGTACCGCTCAAAAGTAAGTTACCAATCGCATCTCATCTGCTTTGTAAGTCAGTAAACAGAGCATTAAAAGCCTTTAATGACAATTTAATAGTACATGTATTATTGCCCCTATAGGGATTTTGCAGAATAAGACTCAGTTCACAAACAAGCAAGACAAGTGAATCAACGGCTAGCTTATCACTAGCAGAACAATGGACGAATACAGAAATTTTGCCGACAATTAAATTCTGTGCTGACTTACAGTGTATTAGCTATACTCACAGAATGTCCTTCTATAATGTTCAATAAAAGGCTAGAATGCACGAGCATGAATTGATCAAACCTTTGAATTTCTAAGGCTTACTCTCCAACAAATAAAATGAACTGTACAAAAATGGTTTAGAATAAACTATTCTCGAAATCGAGAATGTTTTGATCAAAGCTGTGTAAATCAAACTGAATCAATGCAAGCAACCTTGCATTTCCTGTTTCTATCTCACCTATTGTATGGAAAATGTGTGAAAATCTTCATTATGAATTGGTATATTTCAAAGGGCTACACAACGACCAAGAATACTACATGTACTGACTGACAAAATACAGAGCGGGGGCAGCTGTAGTTTTAACTATTACTAGTTACATCTTAGTGACTCTAGCCTGTTTCCTCTTCTGTTTCCTTTGTTGAATACATACTAGGGACCACTCTTTTCCACAAGCAAAAGAGAAATAGGAGATGTCTGCAAAAAGGCTAGGTGATTCTAGCTGAACTGAATATTGGTAAATGATTCTTGGTGCTCAATCCTAATTTGTTTCTCATTTTGCTCCTTTCCTCACTCAATCACTCTCACTAGCAAACTAACATATTCATTAATTAATTCACGTCTTCAAAGAGCTATAAAATCCACGTACCCATCATTTTTGCAAGATTCTTGAGCCTCTCAGCCATCGTTTCATCAACATTAGCATTAACCTCATATCCACAGGGAAAGATGGTGCCTTTAGGTTTGAAACCTTTCTCATATGCCTGTATTCATGTATTACAAAAATAATTTGTACCACTTTCAGAGGTAAGCAAACTTCTGCATGTACTTTACTACAAATAAAATACCGTAAAATTCCGAAAATAAGCCCCCGGGCTTATATTTTTCAAAGGCCCTTTTTGAGGGGCTTATTTTTGGAGGGGCTTATCTACGGAGGGAAATTTGCGTTTCAAAATCGATATTTGGGCTAGCCATATAGTTGGAAGTAAATTTACCGTTTTTGCTTTGTTTTACTTTGTATTTACAAATACAAGCCCCTGGGGGCTTATATTTGGAGGGGCCATGTAACGGAGGGTTTTTTTACGTTACAGGTTTGGGGGGCCTATATTTGGAGGGGCTTATATGTGGAGGGGCTTATTTTCGGAATTTTACGGTATGCACGCAGTCATAGAAGCTCCAATAAGCTTTGCATGTTAACATTAAAATAAAGTTCAGGATAAAATGATTTTAACCTAGTTTGACTAGTTCGACTCTTAATTTCCTCTGCCTCCTGGCCCTTATGATAATTATTCATGATTATAAATAATTTCATAATTTTATTTTCATTGAGGATAGTGAAACCAAGTTGAATCCATTTCAGCCTAATACATATATATACCTTTTACCTGCCAACTTTTTATTAATTTAAGTGCATTAGACTCTTACGCTGTGAAGCGCCAGGATTATTCATAGGCCATGAACCTCTAAGATCAAAATGAGCACAGATTTCAAAAGACAAGCCAAAGATTTCTTCTTGAATTCTTTGTTTAGGAATATACTTACCTCTTCACTTTCATAATAGTCTACTGAATAATCAGGTTTGGCTACAAAGTAACGCCTCTTCCAGTTCTTGACCACTGCCCCTTTCTTTGTAAGGTATCCCATCTTTAGAGGACTTTTGAAGGTGTCCCACTATCAAAATTACAAATACAACTATAAATGACCTACAATCAGGGACGAAAGCAGTTGACACACTTGTCTAAAACAGGTGCTTTTATCAACAATTTTATACATTTTATTATTTCATTCTATTTAAACACTGTAAATTTATGCTCCCGTTCCCAAATCAATGTTGTTTGTGGTAAAAGAAAGACTTGAGGGTCTAAAATGCAACATTGGTTTTGGGGGGAGGAGGTGGGGATACACAGGGGGAGGGGTAGGTATATCCACTGTTCAAAAAGGGGCTATTTTATTGAGGTGTCTCAACACTTTTGTCCTTCATTGTAGCTAATATCAATCACTGCCTGCAATTGAGATTAATCATCAAAAGCTTCAACATCACTTAAAAATTATATACATGACATATATGTTACAGGCAAAAATTAAATTCAGGTTAAATTTTTTAAACCTACCTTGATCGAGGAAATTGACAATCAATCTGGGTAAAAAAACTTTAACCTGAATCTTATTTTGACCTGTAACATACACAGTTGTATAGGGTCATGTTCTATTGGGATCAACCACTTTATCACTTTATCAAACCAATACCAGTTTTGGTTGATTTTGTTCGAGTTCCCAGGATAACACTTTTTTAATCTATGGAGCAGAGAATGTACTGAAAACTTTGAAACATTGTTTCTTTTCATGTTTTATTTATGAGGTACTTTTGACCGGCATTGTTGCATCGTTGACAAGTTTTTCATGAGGCTTGGGTAAACAAATTTTTATGCATGAAATTTGTGCAAAAATGACAGCAACACTTGAAAAATAATGCGCCACCTAGTTAAAATTTAAAGTTGATCAATCAAACCAACCAAAGACATTTTTCCCCAGTATGTAGAACATGAAAAAACCCAAAAAATGTTTGATTCTGATAGAATGCAACACCTACATGTAAGTAGCAGGGGCGGATCTAGGGGGAGGGTGCAGGGGGTGCGCACCCCCCCTCCCCATGAGGTGACCTGCGGTTTTCTAATACAACTGGTATTCTGGTTTATTGGTGTTGAAGTAGAGCAAGAGACGAGTGCACCCCCTCCTAAAAAAAAATCCTGGATCTGCCCCTGAGTAGCCACTGATCCATATTTACCGGTACTTACTGGTCTGTGTGATAATTTGTAAACAGGTTTTTCCTCTGCAAATGAATCAGCATCTATCTCCTTCAAGGTTTTCTTTGTGTATTCAACTCCATAGGCAGTATTGTAGGCTATTGTGAACTCCTTAAGAAATTCCTCTGCAATGTCTGAAAAAGGGTAAATTTGTGGATGATGTAATTGTTTTTTTTTTGTTTTTTTTTTTTAAATTGACCCAATATGAATAACTATTACACAAAAGAACATACAGGTACAATCATTTTTTTGCCTAAAAAAGGACATTATCAAACATTATCCTTTTGAGACAATAGCATGATGAACAGCAGGGGAAATAAAGTGAACATTTTCATTGACAGGAAGTGGGTGAAAACACCCAGTTTCATACAAAAAGGAAACAAAAAGGAAAATAATGTATAAATGAATGAGAGGAAATTGCTGTTCTGTAATTGGCCTTTTTGGTCTCTTTTTAAAAGGAACAGAGGCTCTCCAAAAACCTCCAGCTCTTTGTTTTGCAGTACTCTACATTATAGGTAACGGCATATAATATGTCATTCTTTCCACAAGGGTAGGGTTAGGGTGTTGCAGATGTTTGCAGAGATTATTGCAACACTTTCCTGAGGAGACAGCCCTCCCTGTCTCACCCTCTTCAGCACATTAGCAATTATGGAAAGACAGCAGGATTATCATATTCAAGATTTTTCCTGAAAACTATGCATTTTTTTTTAATAATCATACAGGCTTAATTGGCAGCAGCATTCTATCCATTTATTCTTCCCATTTATTTTTAAAAGGCTTCTTTCCCAACCACAGAAAAAAAGCTTAGCTTCAACACAAAAGCAAAGCATTTAGACGCAAATGATATGCCAAACTGTTATAGATGTAGATTAATCCCCTCAATTGAGCCATGTGCATAATTATTATTGCCTACCCTTATTGCAAACTTGCGCTAGAATTAGCTAGTTAATTAACTGAGTAAAGTTAAAAGTAAGCTTATCTAATGAGAAAATGCAAGTGTTGCGTACATGTACATGTAGAGTGTCAGGTTCATAACAAGGTTGGGAGGGTCAATAGTCCACAAAGACAGCATGGAGAATAGAGAGTACGTTTTTTTATACACAGATCTAATTCAGCTTGTACCTAGAAAATGACGTTCAAATCTAATGAAGCCCGCACCAGTAATCGACATGCACCTATGCAATCCAAAATGCTCTCCAGTGCGTCAGTAAGAGGCGAAACCTCACGGCTATTGGAAAGCAATTTCCCGGTTCGTTCGAAACAGTAAGCAAGAACCTTACCTTCGATTTGCTGCTTTTTAGAGCCATCTAGAGGTAGTAAATTTCCCATTTCTGCAAACTTAATGCAAGGAGTTCAATGAAGAGTTGACTTACAGTCTTACGAATCAGACGCGTGCGGGAGTATTATTAAGCAACAACTCTTGCGAAATCCAGCTAAATCGTGTGTCGTACAAGCATTCCAGATCCAGGGGGTGGAGCAGGAAAGATGTTGAAACATCGTCATTCAAGGGGAAGAGATCACGCTACGAAAGTATTGAACGTCAAATATCAAATATTCAAGGGATTTTATTTCCTCCTGCGCCCTCACTACAAACTGTCAGCGCTGCTATGTTGGCGATACTAGTCAGTGTGGATTACATGACGTGGATATTGATGACCGACAAACTAAAGATGGCGGACGGCCATCATGAAAATGTGGAAAACGTAAACATCGCAGAGACAAATGGTAGTGGTTTGATTGACGTTGAAGAAACAGAAGAGGTTGCACGCTATTCTATTTTCTTTTTGATTTGTGTTAGATTGTAAATACTATTTTAAGGTGATCTTATGTTAGAGTCAGTAAAAGTTGCAGGTTCCCAAACTTTTCACAGTAAAATGCACGGCATAAATTAGTTTTGACTCTCTTCCTCCTCTCAGCAGGATTTGCAAATTGATCTTGATCTCGGTGAACTGGACCTCACATCTCAAGATGAATTTATTTTGGACGAAGTGGATGGTAAGGGAACTGGAGCAGCTCTCATTTACCAATTGATAGTGAGAATTAGATTGAATAATTTAAATTCAATAATCTTAATAATATTATTTTATTGATGTTTAACTTAACAGTATAGTTAAAACCTACACTCAAAACAGCAGCAACAGCAACAACATTGAAAAAATTCTCAATTTTTTTACAAGCAGACTGAAGGAGGAAACTATTAATAATTGTTATTGGCTGGTAGAGACTTGAATCCATAGCTCAAAGGAGTGGTTTTAGGGAAAACAAGGTGTGTGTGTGGGAGGGGAGGGGGGGGGTTGTTTAGTCTCACGGGCTCACAAACCTCCTTTTGAGCTACGGAATCTGACCATTTCCTTACTGGCTTTGTGTTTCTAGTTCATATACAAGAGAACTTAGAAGATGAGCTGGTGAAAGAAGCTTTAGAAAAGGTAGGGAACAATGCTTTAGGTGCTGATTTCCTGTGGATCCAAAGGTATTATGCTCATAAATTACCTGTGACACGGGGGGGGAGGGGGGGGGGTGTTTGGGGGTGTTATGGGGGGGTTGCGGCCAGGGGTCATTTTGAAAATCGTGATTGGTTTTGGGGGATGATTTTCAGATAAGGGAGTATTACCTGGACTGGTAAAAAGGTTTCAGGTGTATTGATATTATTGTATCAAGTTTATTGATTGTTGCAAGTGTATCAAGTGTACTGGAGATGTCAGCCTCTGCAGATCTCAAACTGGGTCTGTAGATATTTCCTCTTGCACAGGTACCTCCTTCCACTATCATCCCACTCCCAAATGGCTGACACACACCTAACAGGCACATAATCATCCCACCCTCATTAAAGGTTGAAGATAAAAGGTGCCAACAGATGCTGCAAAGAAACCCTACAATGGACTGAAAAATTAGAATTTATACTGATGTAGCAAAATTTGGGTTTGATGATTTTACATCCTGCCTCATGGAAGAGGTCAAATGTCAATGCTATCTGGGAGCTTTGGTTCCCTGTATGGGAGTCCCAGTTCTGATGTGATTAACACATAATTGTGCCTTTAATTATCGGTGCATAAATTTTTGCCGGTGCCCAAGCAGTGACTGTGTTGCACTTAATTGGAATTCCTTTTTTTGTATCTTATACTCTAACACCTTAAACTTTTATACTCTGAGGGAGCCCAATATCTACATGTATAAGCCTTATGGTTTCTTTTTGGGCTTCCTCACCACATTGCTTCTGTGTATTTTCTGTATTCTTGTCTTTTGTTTTTTTCTATGGTGAAATAAAGAAACTAAACTATACTAAACTAAACTAAATCTTAGGGGGTAGACCTCAGGCAATATTCAAGACAAATTGAAGGAGAATTGCATGAAGTGGAGAATGCTTCAATCCTGGACTGTATCCTTTTCATTAGTATTCACTTGTAATGGGGTGTATTTTCATAAGTAGCCTGCAGAAGAGGCATTGTTTTTCTCAAGATCTTCAGAACAAGGGGTATAGAATGGTTTCTCAAAAATGTGGGTCTTGGAAAATTTTGGCCAGATCTCGAAATCTCGGAAGCATTTGTGATAGGTCTGAAAGTCTCGTTTTCAGGTGATTTTGCGTTTGGAGTCTTGAATTTTGAAACCACAAAGTCTCAAAGCTACCATACTGTACCCCTAGAAGAGCAAACACAAGCACAAGAAAGGCAAAACATGTCTGATGTGGAAGGCACCCCTTCTTTTGCACATGATTGTCACTCACTCTATGCCCCCCTCAAGCCTTGTAAGCCTTGCCTTTTTGTATAGTGATGTTGTATTTCTCCCAAGTTTAACTTAACCTGTGTTGCTTAAAGATATCAAGGAAAGTGAAAATATTGCAAGCCTTCACAACCAGATTGCTTCATGTGATACTATTCTTGAGGTAATGTAAATTAATTTTCAGTAGCAAAATAGGCCAGTCTCAAATTTTTAAAATTCATACTTAGCATCGAGGTTGAGGGGTATAAAACAAAAGAGGAAACACAATGAAATTCAGTGATAGTTCATTTTTTTTTAGTTTTATTCCCCTCAACCTCAGAGCCAAGTATGAATTTTGATATAATGTTTGAAACTAGCCTATAGAGTGTTTTCAATCACATAGCCAGCATGCAGCTATGCAAAATTTAATTTATTGCTGCAAAAGAAAACATTTACATAAGAAAACAGTTCAGCTCCCATGGGACTTGTTTGGGACACCAACATGGTGGACATGACCTCATCTGTTAAAGCTCTTTTAGACCTCACATTTGCAGTGTGTGATGGTAAAAGCCTGTGGTAGTTACAGTTTTCAGTGACGTTGATTCATGTCTGTACATGCACATAGTAGTACATGTCTGTATAAATACCCTACATCAGAAGTACAGTTGATATAGAATGCTCAATTGATATATTTCAATTTTTTATTAATACTCACAATTAAACCATATTCATAAATGGCAGTACATTTGTTATGACTGAGTTTTTCAGCTTGGGTTAATTAGTCTTACTAGCCTCATTTAAGAATGAATATTTTTTAAAATTTTCCACATAAACTAAAATTGATATGAAATGATTATTTGTTTATGTTACCAGACAAATATTAATATATCAAATTATATGAAGAACTGTTTTTGAAGACTGTAATATGCTGCTGGCACCTTGAAACATTATTTTTCTTCCCTATTTATTTCCTATTGTTTTATTTTGTTTTATCTTTGGGTGAATTAGAGTATGGAAAAAATGCTTACAAGTTTTCAGGTAAGCAAAGTTATAAATTAATATGACCCCTGGTTTAACACTGTGCTAACTTACAGTAACTTATACCTCCCAACTTTACTTTTCTGCCAGGCGTAAGAAATAATTTATTGGTCTGCAGGCATGAGCAGGTATAAGATACCAGCGTTCTACTTCCAGATGTTAGTATCATGCCTAAAAACTTGTAGAAAGGTAGGTATGTAATATTTACTCAAATGGGCACAGCAGCGCTTTTTGAATTTGTCATGCCTCAAATGCTGTGCTTATTAAAGGACCATGCTTATGTTCCTCAGTCTTCTCTCAACTTTAATTCTCAGTAATCTACAATCCACCACAGTCATTCCGATCATCCTATTCATCCCAGTCATCCAATAATCACAGTCATTCCCAGTCATTTCTAGCCATCCCAGTCATCTTAGTCATACCTAGTCATCCCTACTCATCCCAGTCATCCCAATATCTCCAAGAATCCCTAGTCACCCCACTCATCCCAAGTCATCCTTAGTCATCTTAGTCGTCCCAGTTATCCCAGTCATCCATATAGTCATCCCAGTCTTTCCAGTAATCCCTAGTCATCTCAGTCATCCCTAGTCATCCCAGCCATCCCGGTCATCCAGTCATCTCAGTCATCCCGGTCATCCTAGTCATCTCCAGTCATCCCTAGCCATCCCGCCAGTTATACCTGGTCATCCTAGTCATTCGAGTTATCCCTCGTCATCTTAGATATATCACTCATCCCAGACATCCCTAGTCATCCCTAGTCTTTCTTAGTCATCCTAGTCATTCCAGTCATCCGGGTCATCCCAGTCATCCAAGTCTTCTCTAGTCATTTCATTTGTCATCCCATTCATGCTAGCCATACCATTCTTGCCGGTCATCTTCATCATCCCAGTCATTCCTTGTCATCCCACTCGTTCCTTATTTCAGTCGCTGATCTGCAGTTTTGGTGGGTAATTCTGGTTCTTTAATGAAAAGCCGATGAAAACACGGACTATTTTCATAGACAGTGGGAGAAAAGGGGAGATTTTTTTTTTAATTTTTGAAAAAAACAATTAGCAAATGTACAATAGGTACATAACATTTATTATCTTGTAACTCTTTAACATTTGAGTGCTAAATACCATGCTTATTTGTGGCCATCTTAATCGGGGAGGCGCTCATTTGAGTAAAATGGTACTTACCTTTGACAACAGCAGTGGGAGGTGTTTCATTTAAACTAAATTGCTATGTGTTTGTTTGCTTTTCTGTTAGTGACCAACCTTTAGATTTCTGAAATGGCCTTAATTTAGGATTAATTGTATGCTTTCCTAACAGGAAGATCTTGGGAGCATAAGTTCAGAAATCCAAACTCTTCAAGAGCAATCATTATCCATGAACATCAGATTGAAAAACAGACAGGTAAAGAAAGAAAATTTGATAAACAAATCAACACTTCTGTGAAACTGTATTGGACGTAAAGTTTAGCCGTGTATCAGATAGTTGTATAAACTCATTAAACATTAATTTTTGTTGTTTCTTCTTTAAGAATTACTAATGAGTTTCTGAAGCTCTTGTAAGCGACCACCCTCTATTGTTTACCATGCAGTCGCTTCTTATGAGAGCTCATTCGCGTAAGTGACCAGCACCAGTTACAACCTTTCTTCAAATTTCCAAGGTGGCCACTAACGAGTAGACTACAAGTAGTCCCCATTTTTCTTCAACGTCAACGAATGGCTAAAAACCAACAAACTGTCCTTGAACATAAAAAAATCAAATTTTGTAATCTTTCGTCCCCGGCAAAAGAATATGCCCTTCATACCTAGGATTAGAATTTTTGACTCCGTGACTAACACCTACGCAAACCTTGAAATGAAAGATTATGTAAAATACCTTGGCTTAATGATTGATTCAAATCTTTCATGGAAATACCATATCGAATCTGTCTGTCACAAAATCAGCAAGTCGATAGGAATTATAGCTAAAATTCGACATTATGTCCCGCGTCGTGTTTTACTTTCAGTTTACAACTCATTAATTGTCCCTTACTTGACTTATGGTATTTGTGGTTGGGGAAATTGTGCCTTGACATTTCAACGAAAGATCGTAACTCTACAAAAACGGGCCTTACGTCTCATTTACTTCAGTAAGTCTAAGGAACACGCCTGCACCCTTCTTTCTCAAATCAAATTGCCTTCCCCTGCCTAGCATATTTTTCAGAGATTGTAGCTATTTATTGTATGATATCAACAGACAGACAGCACCAGTTAGTATTCTCAATCAGTTCGTTAAAACAAGTCAGATTCATAACTACAGAACAAGATCTGTCTCTAGCGACTCGTTTTATGTTAAGTTCTCTAGAACCGATAAAATGTATGCCTTTTTCACGAGAATCGGTGCCCAAATTTGGAACTCTATTCCGATTCGATTAAAATACTTAAACGTCAGTCCTTTCGTAAAAAAAAATAAAGGAATTATTACTAAATTTTTTTGCGGTCAGAAGATGATTATGTCAAGTCTCCCGCCTTATTAAGTTATTTAATACTTTAGTTAACCTCTCTTCGTAATCGTTATGTACATGCCTTGTTTTTTGTTTTTTGTTTTATGTTAGTTTAAACTCTATTTACTGTATTGTAGTGTCTTCACTGTTATTTAGTCCATCTATATATAATTCTTGTTTTGTAATATGTCTTCAGCTCCCCCCGCCTCGATTAGTTCATAAGCTATTTGCGGGTGGGAAAGTAATGTAATTAGTTATTTTCCAATTTTCAATAAAATTTGTTGTTGTTGTTGTTGTTGTTGTATAGTAGAGCAAGTGAAATGTGAGCACACATGAAAGCACCCCACGTGAGAAAGGCGAGATGCAGTCGAGAGAGTCTTGCCTTTCTCATGTGGGATGATTTTCACGCACTTGGGTTTCGCTCGCTCTACTAACCCTGAGGAAAAATGGGGACTACTCGTAGTCTACTTACAAGAGCTTTGACTGTATTGGTCTGTTTGGAAGGTGTTTCTGTAAACTTTTATCCTGGTCTTGCCATCTTCCCCTAGATGGAGGCAGGTGTCTAAAGAATGGTTGCTGATTGTGGGGCTTCTAAAAATCACCAGTTAATTAAAAACACACAGATTTTATAATGGCATTTAATTGCCAAATCTTGTCTGCCTGCAGGCTGTCAGGGGTGAGCTTAGTCAGTTCGTTGATGAAATGGTCATCACAAGTCCCATGGTGAAGTAAGTAAAATTCCTTGATTATTATACCCTATTCTTAGTCACCAAACGCAGCAGTTCTTAGTGTCTTGACACAACCTCCTCTCCACTAAGGACACTCTCTGTTTAAGGTCTCTTCCACTTTTGAAAGTGGAGTTTTTTTCGCCGTTTACAAAAAAGCACGCATCGACACAGGCTTACTGTCATTTCTCGCCATAGCTGGCGAGGCAACTATGAAGAGTACTCTTTTAAGCCCATCTGTTACATTCTTTCTATAGGCACATTTGCGAGACTGCAGTGACAGAGCAGGCATTTATTGAACAGCTTCATGAACTGCACCACAAGATCGATTTTGCAAAGGAGCAGTCGTTCAAAGGAGCTTTGTCTGTGAACGATGTGGGGAATGATTTAGAAAAGCTCAAAGTTAAGGTACTGTACCACAGATCTGCGATTCATTTGCCACAAGTAAACTCGGCATTGTTTACAGTGTACTTCACCTAGACCGATTGATTACCTCTTTCAAACCATATACTATGATGAGTCTTTTATTCCATTTCTGTCTGCATCTCCAACGGCCGCTTTTCACTAGTCTTGTTGAGGTGGGGAAGTCATACATGTAGCTGAATTGGAGGCATGTGGAAATGTTCTGGCTCTTGCTATTCCGATTCCGTCAAACTTATAGAATCCGTTTGTGTCTGATTTTATTATTTATTTATTTATTTAATTATTTATTTTGTTAGGGAAAATCGCGCTTACGAATTCTACGGTCGACTCTCTCTTAACGGACACCTCTATAAGACGGACACGTCCCTAAAACGGACACCTACAGTTGGTCCCTGCCTTTCTTTACTCCCTTTATTTGACTCTCTCAAAGACGGACATCTCTCTAAAACGGACACTTACTGCCGGTCCTAAAGGTGTCCGTCTAAGAGGGAGTTGACTGTATTACCGTTCCAACTCCGGCTTTGTCGCCAGTGAAGGCAGTTTTTTGCCTGCGCGTAGACATCTTCTGTGTCCTTTGCTTCACCTTATCTAAAATACTGTGACGACACCCTTTTATTTTTTTTTTTATTTCCCGGCTCTTTCAGGCAGTGCAGAAGATAAGAAACTATGTGATGGAGAAGATTTACCAGTTTCGTCGACCAATGACCAATTACCAGATTCCACAAAACGCACTTCTCAAGTATAGGTAATCCAAGTATTGTTGTGATCTACGGGTATATTAATTCCTTCAGTTTTTGTGATTGTTTGACGTTGGTGTCTAAGTCAGCTAAGTAGTTAGATGTGTCTGTTTTTGCTTCATTTTAAAATGTCTCGTGGTCGTTATTTTAAACTCGGCTTTTGGTAAGAAGAAGTGAAATTCTTAAACCAAACACAGGTGCCGGTGTTCATGTTTGTTGGAAGTTGTTCGATTGTAATCTCAGGTCTTTTATTAGTAAATGGAACGAAAAATCGACCTTTTGATTGCAGAATAGGATCAATATTGATAAAAAAAATCCCACCTTCGACAGTTTGTTTTTAACTTGGATTTCAGCAAAAAAAAACCTCTTATTTTTCAGATATTTTAATGAATTTCTGATGGCACATCATCGTCAAGTTGCGAGAGAAATAAGAGACGAGTACATCGATACCATGAGCAAGATTTATTTTTCCTACTTTAAAACTTACATCAGCAAACTCCTTAAGCTACAGGTGAGTGTCTTAAGGCCAAACAGTGATTTTACTCTGGATACACGAACTCCGATATGAGCGTCGTTTTTTAGGATTAACTCAGTCGGTAGAGTGCTTGCCTGTTGAGCGGGAGGTCGCGGGTTCGATTTCCCCAGACCGGATCAATACTCAGGGTCTTCCTTTAAGTAGCAAGAGTGACCAAATTCAATTTTCTCCCTACAAAATCAAGACATAATCAAGGGAAAATGTTGTGAGAATCAGTAAAATAATCTCCTGGTGGGAAAATCTTTGATATATAAACAAATTTTCTTGACCAATTCTTTAAGGAAATGTATGGAGATCAGTCTGGAGAATTTGTATTTGGATCTAGGGGCTTAAAAGCTTAAGATAACTGAAAAATGAAGGTACTACCTTTGCGCTGCCAACGGCTAGACCTTCGCGTGGCTCGGATGACCACGTTAAGTGGCGCTGCCCGTCTCCAGGGGGAGTAGATCTTAGTTGTAAGGGCTTTATTCAAAAATTTATCGATCTCATATGAGATCTTAACGTTTCTGTTTTCTTCACGATGAGGGAAGGGCGGGGTGGGGTTTACGGTTATGAGTAGGCTATTTAGCGTCACGCGCACTTACCTACGTATAAATTTTTTTTTCGCTTTATACTCTCGCCTTCTATGGGTAAAATTTAGGAATACAGTTAATGTAAGTCCTTGTAGTTTTAACAGACTTTTATTACTTGTTATCCAGTTTGAGGAATCAGCTGATAGAGACGACCTCATGGGTGTGGACGACAATGCAAAGAGAGATATCCTTTTCACAATTGCTAGTCGTTGTTTTGAAGACCTTTTGGGTTCCATTTCAAACGTTTTTCAGTACTGCCATTCCCCCTAAGTTACTCTCCAAGAAAAGGAGTAAAGATGTCTTACTTTTGCGATTGGTTTAATTTGTTACCATTAACGTATCCGGCCAGGACAGATAAAACACTTGCGGGAGTTCAAGTGTCGTGTTACTTTTGACAAGGTTGTAGCATGCAACTGCGTAATCCGGCCTCACTCTACTCCCAAGCAAAGATACCCTGTTCCAACCTCGTTCCCAGGGTTCTCTCTTACCCGTCCCTACTGAGCGAGAGAGAGACGACGGGTAGGAGAGAGAACCTGGGAAGGAGGTTGACCCTGTTCTCGTTTTGTACTGTGCTCTGGGTTGTCAGACAAGTACTATTCATAATATCCAGTGTAGTTCATTTGTAGTTCTTAACTATTCACAAGGATATTCTCTGCAAAAATCGCTCTGAAGAATCGCTCGACTATTTTCACGCTTGGAAGTCGCGGAAATGTTCTTACGAGCGAGTTAGAAGAACCTGTGATTGTGCCTCATGCGGCACAAAAGACTGAGAAAAAGGTAGGAGATGTAAGCTTCTGGATGAAAAAAAAAACATCGACAAAGAAGAGCAAACAAACAAAAACCAAAGAAGACGTAGACAGAAAATCCAAGATCGTGTTCGTCCTTTTTTTTTTTTGCAATGCTTACCTTTCTTGTGAAAATAATTTTATTTTATACGAGAATAGAAAATATGTATATTTTCATACCTCTCTTGCTCCGCCTTGACACTCGTGCCCAGTTCACTTGTTCATCGAATAGAATTGCAGAGGAACAGAGGGATTTGAACAGTCTGGAGGAAATCCCAAACCACTTTTTATCATTATAGTTTATTGACACCCTTAAACCCTAACCGTGACTAGCATCCAATTTCTCCCAATGATATCACTGCATAAAGAGGATGATCACACAAGAACTTTGATACGAATAAAGGGGATGATCCGCAACTTTAACATGCCTTGGCTTTTAAACGAAGCCTCTTGCATCAGCGGAAGAAGAAATGCATGAAAAATGTGGGTTTAATTTACTTATTCGTTTTCCTTTTGTTTTGCAGTACTCTTTTGAAAGCTTATTCCGCAGCATGCATTTTGCTCTGCTCGATAACAGCTGCAGAGAATACTTATTTCTCGCCGATTTCTTTATGGCTCAAAATAATGCTGCTAAGGATCTCTTCACAGCTGTCTTTGGAAAAACACTGTCGCTATTTCTGGTGAGTACACCAGGTGTCTTCGAGTTGATCAGAAAGGATCATTAAACGTTTCTAGTAAACTGCCCACCTACCCCTCCCTTAGGCCAAGATTAACACTTGCTTCTCACTTAAGGCAAAATGTTGGCTTAGGGGAGGGGTAGGTGGGCAGTTTCCCACTCCAGAGGGACCTGCAATAAGAGTTAGTCCTAGATAGGTGCCCGCCTTATAGAGAGTCAAAGAAATTTAAAGAACGGCAGGGTCCAACTCTAGGTGTATGTGATAGGGAGGTATCTGGCCATCTGATGTGTCCCGTGTTAAGAAATAGTCCTTCGTACTTGTTTACTGAACTCCCCCTATGTAAGGAAACCCTAGACGGTCTTGAATAGTGGATTCCACGCCGTGGATTTCGGATTCCAGGTAGACGATTTGAGTCTTTGTCCTGGAACTTCCGGATTCCTTGAGCTGTATTCCGGATTCCAAAGCCCGGGATTTCGGATTCCACAAGCAAACATTTTCCAGATTCCCTTACACTGGGCGAACTGAACTAATGAAAAAAAATACAGTCAACTGAATATACGGTGTATAGACAGGGTGTCTGCTTATTACGGGGTCTGCTTAATTCATTGTACTGTCTGAATTATTGCTGTTATTCAAACCAACAGAAACAAATGGACACGTATCTGGAGAGCTGCTTTGATGCCATTGGCATTTTCTTGTGCATTCATATTGTTCATCGATACAGAATTCTTATGCACAAAAGAAGCGTACCGGCCCTGGACAAGTACGTCTTTATTCTATGACTACGTATTTATCACCGAAACAGGATACTTCCGGTACTGCTGTTCCCTAGCAAAGTTTAGGACTTGTGTTACATGACAAAACGCACTTTACTTGAGTGTCAATGTATTTAGCACGCAATTACTAGTTGAGTACACAATTCTTACGTCTCCCCGTGGGGAGTGGATCCGCGCCATTTCCTCGTGGTCATACGAGCCACTCAATGGTCTAGCCATTCACAAGGCCGCAAAGGCACGATCATCAATTTGCAGTTATTTTAAGGCTGAGTATTGGTCTGCCGCGAGATCGAACCTGCGACCTCCCACTCTGCAGTCGAGCGTTCTACCAACTGAGCTAATCCTTCAGCGGTACATATATAGCTAGTTAATTGGCCACTTCAACATAGCTTGGATACCAGAGGCTTGTCATGCGCGGTGTCCGCGGTGTCCTGTTTCGATCAAGTCTGCTATCCAGGGTAACCTTGCCAAAAATCTCTCTATAGCATCTCAGTAGTCTGAGAGACTCAAATCAGGCAGGTAGAACACTTAAACCGGATTCATCTTATTTTCATTCTTACCGGACAATAGTACCCATAATAACCCCTCATATATAAATGAGTTCTCCCTGACCACTTTTTTTTTTCCCTGACCACTTTGCGTCTTTCTAGTTCTTAGTCAGTTTGCTTGACTCGTACATTTATCATCGTATTTGTACATTTATGTGTTGACTCCAGATACTGGGATACAGTATTGGAGATGTCTTGGCCCCGTTTCACATATGTCGTGGAGCTTAATGTTGACAGCGTTCGTAACACAGATCCACAAAAACTTGGCGTCATTGACATAAGACCTCATTATGTGAGTATGGACTGTTTCCTATATATAAATAAAACTCACTCATGAGTCACCATCCTTTAAAATTTCAACCTTATTTTTAAGATAGAGACGAAAAGAGACTAGAAATAGGCATTCTTATGAGTGGTTTCCGTTTGAATAAGACATCACAGTATATTATCCACAGAATAGCATGTTCCAGGCTTTCAGTTAGTTGGGATGAGTGAAAAGAAAAAGGAACCCGAGAAAAGAGAAGGGGGAGGACTGGGAAGAGACGGGGTAGTTCCCCCTTCTCCCTGTTTTTTTCTGTCTGTTTGTTTGTTTGTTTGGCGCTTGTTTTTCTTTTCGCCCCTTCCCACTTACCGAGAGTCTGAAACAGCTACCAGAAACATATTAGAAAAGATTGAAGATGAACACCACCATTAATTTCTTCTTTGAGACTGAAAAAAAAAATTGAAAAAATAATGAATATAATCAATTTAAAAGAAATAAGTTCGCCTTGTTTTGAGAAGTCACGCTAGTTATCGGAAATAAAAAGGAAAGTCAGAACATGTGGTGACATTTCCAATTGTATACGTCATACTTAGCAATATCCAGATTTATACTGACTCCGTTTTATTTAATAAAGTCTTTTCATTCTTTTTTTCAGATTACCCGTCGATATGCGGAATTCTCTGCTGCCATTGTCAGTCTAAATGAAAGTTTTCCGGATGAAAAGGTTTGAGGAATAGTCAAACCGTAAATGTTTTTTACCCTGCCTGATCTCTTTAACTAACCACTTGACTAACCACTCCCCTTTCTAACCAGTCATCTTTTTACTCGTCGGGCGTCGCCTTTTCCAATCACATCTCATTTGTTTCTTTTTAACTTCTGGAAAAACGTAATGAAATGAAAAAGCTACTTAGACCATAGACTACAAAACAGTCGGTTTTTTCCCCTCAAAATCGATGTCTAGGCGTGTGAGGCGAGAGAAAAAAACTCTCTCCCCAGTCTCGCTCTTCGTTTTCAGCCTCGCTCCAGACCTTTTGTTTGACTGCTCGTGCGTATTTGATTGCGCAAAAAGAACTGTTTTGAAGTCTACTTGGACCATTCATGCTCGCTAGCACTATTGAGAACCATTTCTATTAATCTGGTTCTTATAAGACGATTATAACAACCCTTAGTCAATCTTCTTGTAATTATTGTTACCAACTCTTACCATGTCTTAGGTGAACAAAGTTCTCGCTGCGTTACAAGTTGAAGTGGAGAACTTCATCTTACGAATGGCAGCCGAGTTTCCTTTGCGGAAGGAACAACTAATCTTTCTTATCAACAATTACGATATGATGCTAGCCGTGTTGATGGTACGTAGCCAAGAGTAGTTTAGTAAGGAGATCATTGCCAGCATTTAGGAGATCTTTTCAGTTGTTACATAAAGGCCGGCGTAACGTTTTGTTTTGGCTGACTGTGATGAGTATTTGTTCGCATTTTCACAATTCTACGATTAGATCCAAAATGCTGTTGAATTTTCGAACATTCAAGCGATATCAGGCTTGGCTTGCATTTGTGCACTTGGGCTTTACAGTAAATCTCGATTTCGGTCTATTGACGGTTGGGTTAGGTGACTGGTCGATGTGGTTTATTGTTTTGAGTTTCACTATACAAAACTAGTAAAACGAATACCTCAGAGCCAGCTTTTACAACAATAATAAACAAGTCACAAAAGAAAAAAAAGTGAATGTTCAGCAGAAGCAAGGAAGAACTTGCAAGCATTGAAGACGTTTAGAACTCCTGGGTTGAAAAAGAAGTGCTTTTAAGATCTGGTTGATATGATTGCGTTTTGAGTTTGGTCGTGTTATGTTTGTGAGACGCTAAGTCAAAGATAGTCAGTCTTTGCACTGTTTGTAGGAAAGGACTTCAGAAGATTCAAAAGAGGCTGAAAGTTTCCAGCAGTTGCTCACAGCCAGAATACAGGAATTCGTT